AGTGCCCCTTTACAGTCACCATTGGCCGGGACCTGATCTGCAATCGAATTCTGCAGATGTACAAAGCTATTGTGCTTTTGTCCGAGCCATCCAGGGGCTTGTACTACGGATCAGATCCCGGGAGCGCCCGCGTCGCCGGTAGGACACCGACAACACAGCCGGAAATCCTCGTGGAACAATGGAAACTCTACTTGATATTCGCTTGTACGACTCTGGCCGACCCAGGAAGTGTCGTGGCTGCCAATCCTCAAGCCGCACAGCATAGCCGAAAGACGTCCAAGCCTGGCTCTGCGGACAAGATTGTCTCAGCCAGAGTCCTCTTCAAGTATCTCATACCCCTCTTGTCAGTTTCATCGGCATCGGTCAGGGACGCTGTGGTCCTCGCCATGGGCTCTATCAATATCCACATCTACCGCACACTCCTCGAAGAGCTGGCAGGACAAGTTTCACGCTGCAACGACGAAGCTCGCGCCCGCATCCACCAGCGTACCAACAGCAGTCCAAGACGCAACCGAAAGATGGATCTTCTGAGGACTGAGATCACCCATGTTTATAAGCTTACCTGCCATTTCCTCAAGATTGAAGACGTCTACAACGACGAGTGGGTTCTCACCAACCTTGTCACCTACACTAGGGACCTCAAGCTCTTCCTCATGGACGGCGAAGTTCAAATGGACTGGGAGTTTCAGAAACTTAGGCGGCATTACTGCGGCCTGACGGAGGAACTCTTCGAAGGAATCAACAGAACCAAGGATCCTTCTCGGTGGATGACGTTTGAGTCCCGAAAGTCTGCGTTTTCTTTGATGGAGGACTGGTGCGGCTTCTCGCCAAACCAGACGCAAATCCGAGTCAGAGAGGACACCATGCGGCAGTCCCTCATTGACCAGCAGTCACTCGGTGAACGAGGCACGGTCACAGCGGCCATGGAGATTGAAAAGCGAAACCTCCGTACCGCAGCTCTCAGTGCCATGGCTGCCCTCTGCGGCGGACCGATGAGCATCACCACTGAGAGTGGCGCCACGCTCCAATTCGATATTCGAAGAATGCTGGCTTGGATCGAGGCCATCTTCAACTCGGGAAGCGACCGGATGAACGTGATCGGCCGCCGAGCTCTGCAGAACTTGATCATCCACAACCAGGAATTGCCCTATCTCTTGGAACACTGCATAGCTCGATGCTACCTGTCCGATGTTTCCAAGGTACAGGAGAGCTATTTTGCCGTCGTCACCAAGGTCTTGCTCGAGCACCTCGATTATACATGCCCGTTCTGGAAGTTGCTCGGGCTCTGCCTCTTCACTCTCGGCAATGACGAAAGTGAAATCAGATCAAAGTCTGCTCGTTTGATGAGGTCCCTTGAGGAGAGACAGCAGCCAGGGCGTACTTCCAAGATCCAGGACTACGACATTAGCATTTCCGACAAGACAAAGGCAGTGTACAAGCTTGCGCAGTTCGAAATCTCAAAACGACTTGCCAAACAGCACACGGAGCTGGCGTTCCACATCTTCTCCGAGTTCACACTATACTTCAAAGACCTCCAGCCTGCCTCACAGCGGAATGTTGTCGCCGTCATATTACCCTGGATCCAGTCGATTGAGCTGAGGGTCGATCCCAATGGTGGTCCTATCGCCCAGTCGTATGTACTGTTGGCCAACTTACTAGAGATCACCATCAAGTCGAGCGGCGCTCTACACAACGAGGTTCAAGCCTTGTGGCAAGCTCTCGCTACTGGGCCCTACCCTGGGAACGTGCGGCTGATCCTTGACTTCATAATATCCCTCTGTCTCGAGAGACGCGAGCAGAACTTTGTCGAGTACGCCAAGCAGATTGTGGTCTTCCTCTCGAGCACCACAAGCACCCCCGGCATGAAGGTTGTCGAGTTCCTTCTGATGCAAATTACTCCCAAGGCAATGGTCCCGAACGAAAAGAAGGACGCCATGCCGCCGCCGCCCGACATTGGCCTGCTCCCTTACTGTGCAGACCTGGGAGAGGCACTTCCCGTGGGCACGAAGCAAGCCGGCTTCTCCCTCGGACAGCTTTCCCTCATCCTACTCGTTGATCTCATGGTTTCTCCTGTGCACCTCACACCTGAGAACGTGCCGGTGCTACTTCAGGTGGTCACCGTGCTGTGGGACCACTACACCCCTCTCGTCCAAGAGCAAGCTAGAGAAATGCTGGTCCACCTCATCCATGAACTTGTTATTTCTCAGCTGGATGACGAAACAGAGCTTACGGCTAGAGCGTCGATCGAAGACCTCATTGACTTGATCCGCCGCCACGATCGTTCAGTCGTCTGGGGCTACGAGGACAGCAACGGCAAGGCCGACGACCACGACAACAAGGTCCCCCCAAGCATGGAGTTCTTGACAGCTGAGGTTGTCAAGACGTTTGAAATCACCTATCCCGGCATCAAAGACCAATGGGGCAGGCTGTCCCTGACGTGGGCAACCTCATGCCCTGTCAGGCACCTCGCATGTCGCTCATTCCAGATTTTCCGCTGCATCCTCACGTCACTGGACCAATTCATGCTGGGCGATATGCTCGCCCGCTTATCGAACACTGTTGCGGACGAAGACACCGAGATTCAAACATTTGCCATGGAGATTCTTACCACGCTGAAGACGCTCATCCTAAAGCTCGACGCAGACAAACTGCTCACATTCCCTCAGTTGTTCTGGACAACATGTGCTTGCCTGGAGTCCATTAACGAGCGCGAGTACTTGGAGGCTGTGGAGATGCTCAACGAGTTCCTAACAAAGGTTGACTTCAGGTCGCCCAACGTCCGGAGGTTGTTGCTCGACGGCCAGCCTTCGAGATGGGACGGCGCCTGGGAGGGCGTCCAGTCTCTGCTCTACAAAGGGTTGAGATCATCCATCTGTATGGAGGCCACGCTCACGACGCTGGACAAGGTGGTTCAGCTGCCCAGTGACGGACTCATTGGCGACGACAGTCGACTTTTCTTCGCGATTCTGGCCAACTTCCCCCGTTTCTTGCATGAGATGGAAGAGGATGAGCCCAGTGAGCAAGTACTGCAATCCGCTGAGATTCTTTGCACTGTTTGCGAGGCCCACGGATACGGCAACGTCGCTGAAGTGCTTCAGGAATACGTCAGCTTCAAGTACCAGGGCAACAACAGAGAGTTCCAGAGCCGCTTATTTGCCTCTCTACAGGATCACTTCCTTCCCAACCTGGACTTCAAGATGGTTATTTTCCTAATGGGTCTCCTCACAAATTCCACTGCCTGGGTGAAGTTGAAGACCATGAATATTCTCAGCATCGTCATTCCCGAGATTGACATGCGGAAGCCTGAACTAGCTGGCCACGGCTCCGATCTCATCTCTCCTCTTTTGCGTCTGTTGCAGACCGAGTTCTGCATGGAGGCGCTAGAGGTCTTGGACAACATTATGACAATGTCTGGCAGCGCCATGGATAAGCAGCACCTACGGATGAGTATGACTCGTTCTACCTCCAAGACGATCCGTAAGGAATACGAGCGAACTGTCAGTCTGTTTGGCATTCCAGAGGCTTCTGGGTGGGCCATCCCAATTCCTGCCAGGAAGACCGATCTCACTCGTGCCAACATCCACGCCGCTTTCTACATGTGCCAGGCCGCGGAAGGAATTCTAACGGAAGCAACGCCGACGCCCGATGTCGAATTCCACAACGACGACTTCCCGTACAGCTACTTCCAGATGCCCGATCGGACCGAGACGATGATGTCGGACGAAGGCCGCGGAGACGGACACCTCGGCGACCTCGTGACCAAGCTGGACAGCCTCGACGATTTCTTTGACGATCTCGGCTCGAGCCCACCCAGCGACGGCCGCTCGTCTAGAACCATCACCGAGTTCTCACCGGACAGCTTCGAGTCCGGAGCGCAGTTGTATGATGAGCAAATCCTGCCAATCCTGCATCAGGCTTCCAACAACAGCACGTTCCAGAATGGGTTTACTGACAGGCCACCAGCTACGGCAAGGGATCCGAGCTCCAACACGATGAATCCTGGAGCTTTTAGCGCGTCAGCGTCGGGCAGCGCCAGCCTGGGAGGAGGAGGAGGAGGACCAGGAGGAGGACCAGGAGGCTCCTCCTCGCGGCCCGGTCTCCATTACCGGTCCATCACGTCGCCGTCGGCCCCGGCATCGTACCAGCCGCACATTAGCGAGTTCACCTCGGACGACGAATTCCCCGAAGATGTCTTCTCGGACGCGGACGACGAGCGACCGAACACGGGCCATGGCGGCGAGGGTTCCTTTTCCCTGGAGAACATGATTAAGCCGCTCGCGCAGAGCACGCGGTCTCGGATGCGCCGTCTGACGGGCGGCCGGTCGCGCGAGAATGACCGACAGCAGGAGCTTTTTCGAGCCGAACGGGCCGTCGCGGCTCAGCAGGTCCCCAAGGTGCCGACCAACTTTTTGACAAAGATACCGCCGCAGGGGGAGATGCTCTGAGGGAGGGAATGAGCAGGCGCATCGCGTTGTTGCTTCAGTCAAAATAGTGGTCTTATTTATCTACATGATGTATAAAAAGCACTAGTCTACTTGGCCTGGCGGAGGAGACAGTGTAGAGTCACGGAGCACGGCGTATCAGATACTCCTCGTCGCAAGAGCTGGTAGAGAGGAGCACATAAACGAACTTGCGTATCATCGTATCACGAAGAAAGACGGATAGAGAGAGGAAGAAGAAGAAGAAGAAGAAGAAGAAGAAGAAGAAGAGAGGAAGGGGGGAGGGGGGAGGGGGGGGGGGGCAAAGATGGAGAAGTGGGGGCTAACGTACCTCACCTACTAATGAAAAAAAAGAAATAAGAAATTCACATATGAGAAGAATAAGGTTCTTTGCAATCACAGCATTAGCATCTTCTGGTTCAATGTAACATGAAGTTTCTTGATTGTGTGAGACCAACCCTAGAGCGTTCCTGAGCCTGATGTATATCTCTCCAAAACAAAAGATGAAGCCGCCGCAGTGCGGATGCGGAGATACACGTAGAGCGGTTGTTTGGTAGGTATCTAGTATCGGTGTCTGGTAGAGTAATCTGCGCGAGAGAGAGAGAGAGAGAGGAATACGGGTTAGCGAGGAGGGACGAGCGAGGAGGGACGATAGCAAAGGAAAAGAAAGAATAGGTGAGTCGAAAAAGCAGACCTACCCTTTGGACTGACGACGAGACCGCGGCCCTTCTTGGCGCCGCGGTAGACCGTCTCGATGATGTCTATGAGTTCTTGTTTGTCTTCCAATACCCAATTGAGCTATTGGGGAAAAAGCACCACAAGTCAGTCGCTGCTGAGGTGGCGCATCGAGAGGAGAAAAGGGTTTTGCGTACCTTGTTGTTATTACCCGTTCCGAAATCAACCATCATGTGTTTATTCCGGAAGAAGAACATGATTGTGCAGGGGTCGTAGAGTTCGTACACTGGTCGCGGGGAAAAGAGAGAGAGAGAGCATGTTAGTTTCGAGAAAGCCTAGAGAGAGTGTGTGGATGTATTTGCGAAGGTTTGACTGCTTTTCTCAAAAGCAGTGGAAGAGGTGGAGAGAGCAACGTACTCTGATTGAAATCGGGGACCTGGTCGATGTCGCAGACGTAGATGGAGGCAAAGTTCTTGACGCGGTCCGAGATGCGGTAGAGGACTTCGTCTTGCTTCATGCAGTCGCGGTCTGCGTCTCGTCCGAAGCGGATCTGGTTTGTAGTGCGTTAGTAGGGCAGTCCAATTTATGTGTAGAGAGTGCGCCGGTGTCTATTTGTGAGGACTTACGACGACGAGGCGCTCTTCTTCGGAGAGGATGGCTTGGTCTACGTGCCAGCCGCTGTTGAGATGAGGGATGACGATGGAACCCATTGTGATGTTGTTGTTTGTATCTATAGATCGAGTTGAGTTGAGTTGAGTTGAGTGTCGTGGGGTTCGTGAGGGCGCTTTGCGAGATCGTGTGGTTACGGAACGCTTCGGTGGTATCGAGTGGTGAGATGGTTGCGATGGAATCGTTTTGGTCTTCTCGAAGCTGGCGGGGGAAGTTCCATTATTTGGACCTGGACTTCCAGCAAATGGCCGGCGAAATGTCATTGCGGGTCCCCCCTCTGCTAAGGTACCCCCAATCCGCCCCTCCAGATCCCCGCGCTAAACCTGAAATGAAAGGACGACAAGAGCGGTCTAAACGGCAGAACTTTTTATTTCTTGGATGGTATCCACCGCTGTATTCCCCCATGGAGGATTTCTTGGGAGATATGCAGTGGACGAGTCCGCTCACTTAGGACAACCCTCTTTTGTTGTGTTTTTATTTTATTTTTCAGACAATTTACCTCAAGATGCCTAAACGTCCATCGCGTGGAGGTTTCGAGGGCGCAGATGCGTCCCGAAAGAGACAAAAGGTCGTGCATGAGGCGCCGACCTTCGAAGAGGTTGCTTCTGCGCGGCATCTGCAGCAGCTTTTGACCTTTGAGCAGGACCAAAAGCGAGCGCGGCATGGTAAGCGCATTCTCTTCTACTGGCATGCTACTCAATTGGGGTACAAAACTGACGAATATACCTCTTAATCAGGTATCCAATCCCTCAAAGTCTTCCTCGACGGCTTCAATTCCGGCACTGGCGACAACGACGCCCGCTTCGCCCTCCTCAGAGAGTACCTCGAGGCCTCTCGGCCGCGCGACAGCACCGGCGACGATGCCGTTCATCTCTCCGACGTGATGGAGACCTGGTCCTACGGCGCGCAGGTCAACAACGAGGCCATGATGTCTGCCGTGCCCGCCGTCCTGGCCCTGCTCCTCCAGGTCGTCTCGCAGTCCCTCCAGCTCCTGCCCCACGCTCTCGACATCGCCCGCACCTTGCTGCAGGAGCGCCAGCTGAAGCTCATTGCAAAGTGTCTCTCGGCGCCCAAGGGTAGCGGCTACGTCATATCGCCCACGCTGCGGCTGGTGCGCGAGCTCGTGACGCTGGACGGCGGCACGCTTGCGAGGAGGGTCTTCCGGGCGCGGGACCACACGTTTGCGAGCTTCGCGAGGAACCTGGAGATCCGGCACCTCGGCGCGGACGGCGAGAGGGGGGGCGGTGTGGTGGAGGACCCGTCTAGGCCGTCGGTGCGGACGAATGCCATCAAGCTGTTCTTGAGCTGCCTCAAGTTCCTGCCGTCCGAGGCCAAGAAGGAGATGCTGATGCTCAAGGAGGTGTTTTCGCACCTGACCTTCTTAATCAAGGACGACCCGCCCTTCTTGATCGTCGAGATGCTGGCTGCGCTGAAGAAGAGCGTGCTGCTAGACGAGAAGCTGCCTCGCGAAGTCAAGTTTAGGACGTTCAACACAAAGACTCTGGATCGCCTGGCGGGACTGTACTCGTACAGACATGATGTCGAGGGGGACGGCCAGCCTTCAGTCAGGGAATCTGTTCACGAGTTTTTGCTCTACACCTGCACGACACCGGGAGCGGGCGTGCTGTACTCTGGAACGGGCTTGTACCCCAAGGAGCTCGAGGACGAGGCGGCGCAGGATGTCAAGAGCTTGGACGACTACGCCCTGGAGCGCGTAGCATGGATGGACAAGTACAAGGACGAAATAATCGTCGCAAACTTTGTGCTCTCCGAGTTTATCCAGAAGCTGCGTCCGTGGTCGAGTTTGAAGCACAGCGAGCTCATCGTCGCCATCTTCCAGTCGGCCCCCGAGTTGATCGCCAGTTACTTTATCAACAACAAGTCTTTCACATTTGAGCCGAAACTTTCCATGACGTGGATCGGATACGCCGCGTTTCTCTTCAACACGGTCAACCTCCCCCTGCCGCCGCACTACGGTCCCACGACGGGCTACCGCCGCGTGCCCCCGCCGACATCTATCCTCCTCGACAACATCCTGCCGCTCCCGCTCAAGCAGCGCGACCTGGTACGGTGTCTCTCGTCAAAGTCCACCCTGGTCTCCTTCTTTGCCGTCCGGATTCTCGTCCTCGCCCTCCAGAAGCTTCAGGTCGCATTGAAGATGCACCGCGAGGCGGCCGAGTCGTCAAAGTCGACCTGGGAGACGGCGAGCCGCAAGCTCATTGACGAATTCTGCCAAAAGATTCCCGATATGAAGGAGGTGACAAAGTGCTACAAGGCCATGGCGGAGGAGAATGTCCTTCAGCGCGAGGCGGCCAGCAGGCTGCTGCTGCTGTACTATGAGGTTATTCCACAGGTGGCGCTGCGTGCCAACTTTGACGTCTCGCCGTTCCTGGTCAACTCGCTTACGCGCCTTGACAGCCGCGCGGACGAGCCGCAGAATCAGGCGCTTGCCCTCATGGAGTTGGAGAACCTGATTGCCATCGCGGGATACTCGCCCGGCATGAGGTGGTTCGCCAAGACGGAGGGTCTCGCGGCGTCGCCGTTTGTCGCGCTGCTCAAATTCTACGTCGAGGCTGCACAGGGACGGCCAAAGTTGAAGGAGGTGCTTGAGTCCGTTGCCGTGCAGCACCAGCTGATATTACAACAGACTGGTCTCGTTCCTCTTCTCTGCGCCGCGCGGGAGTTGAAGAAGAGCGACAAGTCAAGAAATCTGGATCTCATCTGGGAGTTTGTCGATAATTGCGTTGGAAGATGCGCCGCCTCTCCCCTGAAGTACGTGGACCTGATGCAGGAAAGCACGACCCAAGGCGGCGACGAGGTGTTTGCCAGCTTGCTCTTGGCTACCATGGTTGAGCAGCTGTCTTTTGTTGCCGACAAGGCCACCGACAAGAAGGACCTGGAGCTTCTGTCTAAGTTTCTCACGGTGCTCCTGAGTTGCGCGCAGACCAAGGGGGAGACCAAGGCCGTCATCAGTGCGTTTGCCAAGAAGATGACCGAGGTCTTGGGAGACCGCGCCTCGGCGATCGTCCCAAAGACTGATAAGGCTCTGCTCAATGGCGAGCCTGGGGATGAGACTGCCGTGGCGGACGATGCTGGCTCCCAATTGCAAAGGCAAAACACGAGCGTCAATGACGAAGAGATGGATAAGCATTCGCTAGAGGTTATCCTCGACGTCTCTTACGAGCTTGATGACGACAACTCTGCCCTTCTGAAGTGGAACTCCAAATCAGTAGAAGATCTCGTGGACGAGGGCTACGCCGCAGCGCTTATCCGCTTGCTCTGGTCAGAGCACGGCAGTATCCGCCAGGAGGCCCTCACCAACATCCTAAAGATGGCAGCCAAGTTTAAGGAGTCAAACTATGAAGAAAAGGACCAAATCTGGCTCCTCCTCTCTGAGCTGGCAGAATCGTCCCGCGGCCTCGTCACCCGTGGCCCCGTGGCCTCGCCCCTCGTCTCCTTCGCCATCGCCTCCCTCGAGGTCCTCAAGAACCCGCTACATTGCCTCTACGCCAAGGTGAACAGCTTCCTCACGCGCGGCCCCGTGTGGCAGCATGACAAGGTGCCCCTCGCGCACGACATCCTCCACGGCGCGCCGTCCGAGGACGATCGGTACTACACCGAGGTGAGCTGGCTGTTGGCGTACCTGCTGGACGGCCTGCGGACGCCGGCGGACCTGGCCGTGTACCACCAGAAGAAGTGGTTCGAGAAGATTTTCGCGCTGGCGGGGAACCCATACATGCGGGCGAACCTGCGGACGAGGATCCTGAGGATTTTGTGGCGGGCGACGTGTATCGAGGGCGGGAGCACGACGCTGGCGACGAGGTTTGGGATTGTTAGCTGGTTGGAGGTGCAAGAGGCCCGGTGTGTCAGCGGTGGCGGCGGCGGTGGTGACAGCGGTGGTGGTATTGAAAAGGTTGATGCGGATGCTAGGGGGACGAAACGGCTGTACCGCGCTTTGAGGAGGCGGGTCTGGGAGACTTGTGATCAGGAGAGGGTTGGAGAATGGAGTCGGAAGGGCGTGCCCTTGGGTTTGGAGGGTTGAAGACGGAAGGAAGAGAGATTCAAAAAGTCAAAAAGGATTGGTGTTGGTTAAGTACCACGTAATGTACAAATCGAGAAAGGGAGGAAAAATAGGAGTCGGGTCTGGGACTTTTAGAATATACTCCTCATCAGTGTGTATACATGTACATACCACAACACATTTCAAGGATATCTGTTGAGCTGAACTATGGCGATGTTTGATTATATGTCGTCTTTGGGTGATACTAGGACGCGAATGACGTGAGCTCCCGATATGGAAATCAGCAAGGGATTGAGAGTAGAGACTGCCATGAACTGCTGCAAGATGGGGGCAATGGCTCAGGAATCCGAACTATGTAGCATGGCAAGAGAAAGCATAAGCACCTTGGGTTGGTTATCAACAATTGGTTGTCTGGAGAACAGGACCATACACCAATCCACCCGTTGAACACATGGGATATTGAGAGAAAGTGGCGAGAGGGCATGCCTTGACGCTCAAGTAATCTCTATTGCTGATTAATAAAAACAAAACAAAAACAAAAAGGAATTCCTGACTACAACAATGGCATTGAACAAGAGTTGAAGTAAAAATTCGGGGAGAATGGATATAAAATTGCTCTTTTATTCTATCTTGAAAGAATCAAAGCGGATTTGCGTTTTCTAGAGAGCCTGTATTTTTTTTTTCTTCCTTTCGATAAGCCAGAATATCATGACTTGTTACTCATCGGGCTCTCTAGACAATCAACTTTACATCCCACATGCTTTAGTCGTCCTCGAGTACTGATCGCGACCATGACCGCGAACATAACTGGTGCTTATGTTGTTCACTCCTCTGGGGATATAGGTTCTAGTTGAATTGGTTAATCATTATTTGACAACTGGACTAGGATAGTAGCAAGCCAGCACTAGTCTTCAAAGCTTCAAGGTACTTGGCTCAAGTAGACTAATGTTTAGATAACATCCCATGAGTGGAAACTCGTATTGTTATCACATGTAGTAGTATTCAAGTAGACATGGAAGACAGATATGAATGTCGATACGTAGGTCTATTGTCTATTTCTATTACCTCGTCTCTAACAGATATCCGTCCAAGCAATCCCAGAACGAACGTGTAGAGTTGTCCCGGAGCAGACGGTATGCAGTCCAATCTACTGTTATTGGCTTCACTGCAACTCTTCCTCGCACCTTTTACACCCACACTCAAACCCCCAATTCCTCTTCAACGTCGAAACCCTCTTCTCCCTCGACCACTTCTTCTCCTCCCCTCCCAAGTACGTGATACACATTTCCTCTCCCTTGCCAATATCCCGCCCCGCCCGAAACTCCCACACCCTCCCCTCCCTTCTCTTTTCAATATTCGGCCCGCACGAGTGGTTCCAGTAGCTCGCGGCGGGCCAGCACCCGTAGCCAAACAGCTCGGACCCTTCGTCCTCGAGGGACCGGATGCCGAACGCGTTGTGGTTGTCGCGCGAGGAGATGAGGAACAAGGACTCGGGCGTGACGAGGGAGAGCAAAGGCAAGGGCAGGACGGCGAGCAGCTGCAGGTAGGTGGCGGTGAAGGCGTGCAGGTCGGCCGTGTTGATGTAGGGTGTCGAGTCCACGGCGAGGGAGAGGACGTGCTCCCATCGCTTGGGGTGATTGTACAGCGCCACGAGACTGCCGACGCAAAAGTTCATGACATCTGGCTCGATGGGCTGCTGGAGGGCCTTTTGGAGGGCTTTGCGGTGTTGTTTTGTGATTGGCATGCCGTTATTGTTGCTGTTGTCTGTCGATGATTCCGCCGTCCGTAGTGTGCGAATCAGCTCCGCCTGCCCCTTGGTCGCCTGCCACGCCTGTGTGATCTCCTCGGCTGCGGGCTTCGGCTTGGTGATGTCCACCATCTCGTCCCTCGCTTTCCCACCGCCATTGTTGCTATTGCCCCCATTGCTCTTCTTCTTGTTGACCAGCCTACTCACCTCGGTCCAAACCTGGACACCTACCTCGCCAGTCTCGCGCCGCCACGTTTCCCGACAGTCACCGGAGCAAAACGCGAAGCCGACAGTCTGGTCACGGATGGGCAGGTCTCTGCCATAGTCGTATGCAAAACACTGGCCGCAGACCTCGCGCCTGTACTCCCGTAGGAGGACCGAGAGCGTGAGGTCGTCGGAGCGCCAGAGCAAGGTGCCGGCGGCAACGTCGCGGGTCGCGAAGACGGCGCGGCCGGCTGTGGGCGTGTCACGAATCTCAAAGAGGGAGGAGACGGGGCAGCCTGAGACGAAGGGCTTGTCGCCGGCGTCAGAGGTGCCCTTCACTGCCAGGGACGAGGGAGCAGACGAGATGGATGAGGGTCTCGAGAGGCTCGATGCTGGGTAACTCGTCAGTAGAGTCTCTGTGTCGCTATCGACATGGTTCATCGTGGGCGGTTGCATGTTCATCGTGAGCTGAGTTCTTCGTGTGAGAGTCGTGATAGAGGTCAGTTTTCTTTTTTGTGGCTTTGAATTTCAGATGATGATCTTTTTGTTGTCTTTCCAAAATCGTCTGTCGGTTTCAGCTTAGAAAAGTGAGTGGTTGTAAGCAATCAAGGCTCCTCAGAGGAGTTTATGAAGTGGTAGCAAGTTGTGAACTGGATGTCGATGTTCAACTTTGTAAAGAGCGTATACTACTGATGGAATTATGATTTTGAGTAATAGCCATGCTGTAGTTTGGTCTTTTGAGGTAAATTTTGAAGTCAAGAGGGGTTGTATATGAGATCAGAGAAGCATAAACCAAAGAAAAAAAAAAAAAGAGTCCCATGAGGTAGGTGGCAGAGGGGTGAAGCTTTTAAATGTCGTGGGTGGGCCCGACCCTTAGACCCCTAGATTGACAAGTTCGGACTAGTGTGAGGCGATTTAATCTAAAGATAAGCGAATGACAGCGAGAACGTGTTACATGCGGACGGGGGAAAACAAATCTCCTGCCTTTTCGAGGGTTTTGCTTGGATGAAGTTGCAAAAGGGCGAACTGCAGTGAGGAACACAAGAAGCGGTGAAGTGGTTGTAAGTGAACACCAAAAAATAGCTGCAAACTCGCGAGATTATGTGTGTCTCACAAGAACCACTAATGCCACGGCAGATCAAGCAAGGACGGAATCCTCACAAAAGCTAGAAAACGAGGATACATTAAAATTGGGACTAGGCTCGAAAAGCAGAGGGAATGAGTTTCGGTCAGTCGTGAAACCATGTGTCTTTTTCCCGCTTTTGCTGGCCCAAGGACTCGAGCTCCTGTGAGAAAAATTGTGTAGACGCTGACAGGCTGAGCCATACTTGGCTCTCGAGTGTTCAACTTTGCTACTTGCCATGGCATATCACCGGCAGATTCCGAAAGTTGGCAGCATTGATGTAGTCCGTGGAGCAGGTCGTGGTTTGGGATGTTTGAAGGACAGGAAGTGTCCAAAAATGCAAGACGAAGGATGTAACGCTGAGTGTTAAGGTAAGCAGCATTTCAGATCTCGGTTAAGCTCCAGGAAGGAGATGGTGGGGCGGAAGTGTGCGATTGTTTCCCCCATCTCCCAGAGAGAAGGAGATACGTACCTGCAACTTGGACAGTCTCCTGGTCCGGGCTTTTTTTAAGGTCGAGAATCCTACGGCATGGGCCTTTTGAAGGCAAAGGCAGACCATTTAAACAAGCAATAGAGAAACATAGGCATGCCTTTCATGTGTGTCGATCGAGTAAAGGCTTCGAGCCACTATTACTGTAGGCATCATAAAGAGATGTCGAGTTTATGTCCAACACTTTGGCCAATGGTGTCACACTCTAAGCGAGTTAGGTATTACCCAGTATAGCTCGGTGGAGGGAGTTACCTAAGGTGAACAAATATGTTGACCTAAGGTGAGCCCAGGTACAGGGGTGAGGGGTTGGTTGCATTTGCCTCTTTGCCTCGAGATGGCAGGGGCCAGGACAACCTGGAAGGGAAGCAGGCACGCCGCACGCCCACGCAGCACGCAGGAAGGAGGGGAAAGTCAAAGATGGAGGCGAGGCACCACGGCACCAAGGGTAGGCACCAAGGGTACGGAGTAGGCACAAATACGTACCTGATTTTTGACTCCAATGCCCAGGCTCCTTCCAATGGAACCTGGAAGTCTTTGACAAGTTGACGTGCCTGCCCCCTTCTTCAGAGTGCATCAATAGGTACCTTACCACACACCCGACAGCCGACAGGAACTTCCATATCTCAGAAGACTCAGACGGGAGAGGTGAGTGGAAAGGGTGGAAGGTGAGGAACACACTGGACGGTGACCCGGCACAGCTGCCCCGACGCTGCGTTGGTCACCTTACCGTACCTTCCCAGTTACCTACCTTACGTAGTATTTCCAGACTGAGGTGTACAGGGCAGTGAGCAGCGTGGTGAGGTGGGGAGTGGAGTGCTTGGCTGCTAGTACATAGAAGCAGGTAGACCTGGACACCTGGGCACCTGAGCGAGCACCTCCTCCACCAGGTTTCGTCCCAAGTGCCAAAACCTCCTTTGACCACCTGCACCATCTCTATTCGTACCACCTACAAGTACTTACCCAGCTACCTTACCTTACCTTACCTTTCCACGCCCTGACAGTTCGCTGCCGAAATTCGCCCATCACAATAATCTCTCACTCCGCATCAGATATTGCATCACACTTTGACTCTCAAAACACCAAACCATCATACCCTCTTCGCCTTGCCTGTCCCTGATTGCCAGCCTCGTCGCATCAAGCTACCCAACCACTGCCAGCGCCCTCGAAGCAGTAGTGCAGCCCGATCGGAGCCAGTCCTACGGATACTCCGTATTCCGTACAGACACTCCCGTCCTGTCTGTCCCATCTCCCACCATCGTCCACTCTGACTGGACCATCAACTGAACTGCGACCGGCACCGACCGCCGACCGACCGACTCAACTTGACCTTCCTCGACACCACCACATCCACCACCACTACTCCCCTCTTCACCGTGTGTGACGTACAAAAAACCATCACAACGACGGCATCGACGAACATCACCTCAGCCTTCGGCGCCAAACACCGCACCATCTATTAGTACCACAGCACCATCCATCTCCTCACCAACTGGCGAAGCACCCTACCTACGACGACAGCTCCTCCCTTTTTTCTGTCGACCGAATCATCGACATCTGTTCATGCAAACATCACCCTTGCCAAACCATCAATAGCCTACCCACCTGTCCTCGGATGCGCCTTGCATCGTCCTGCTGCTATGGCACTCCAGTATTCAGCAGAGGTCCTCATTCACCTGCGAGAATCACCACTATGCATCAAACCATCTGCTTTACCACCCGCTGAAGAATGGATGGGGTATGCCGTTACCATAGCCCTCAGACAGAAATCCCTCCTTTTCTAACTCTTCCTCCCAGACCACCTCCCGATAATAATCGAACCCAGACCAACGTCACCAAACCCACTACTGACAGAAGAAGCCACGATAATCCCTTGCTTGATCAGACAAATCGTCGCCCTGGCGTTGACCGCCACGTCTCGCGAAACAGCGCCAGTATGTCTCCACCTCGCCGTCTCCTCATTTTCCTCGCCCCTTGAGCAATCGTAACTGACACAAACTTCAATTGCAGACCCCGAAGACATTATTCTCGGACCTCCTCGAACCGCCTTCGCCTCTGCGACCCTGCGCAATGGCAAGCCTTTTGACAATGACAAGGGCCTCAAGGACGCTGACTCGCCCAGCCGCTTCAATTTCCGCAATCGCAATGGTGACACCCCCGAAAGCGACCGCTTCCGCGACTCGAGAAACACAAACTTTGGTCGTCGTCGCGGCGACGGTGATCCACAGGATCAGGAGGGATGGAGTACGGTGAAGCCGCGCAAGAGCTTCGGGCATGAGGGCGCCGAGCGCTTCCAAGGTCGCATGGGCGCTGGTGGTGGCGATAGGCTTCCCAATGAGCGCCGTCCCCGTGATCGCGATGACCGCGAGGGCCCCAGAGATCGTACCCACCGCACCTTCGACCATCACGACAAGGAGCATGATAACGAGGAAGCTGAGCCGCGGCTTCGAAATGGTCTTAGCAGGGGCAAGTCGGAGCCCTGGTTCAAGAACGATAACAGCACCGCCAGTAACAATACCAACAATGCCAACACTCCAGAGAAGCCTCCGTTGACGGCTCGCGAGCGCATTGACCGGGCCAAGAGCTGGAGAGACCGAAACCGGGAGGCTGAGCCCGTCGAAGAAAAGAGCACTGGCAGGAACTATGAGCGTCGCTGGGAGCGCGGCGAACATAGACAAGAGCGAGAGCCCGAATGGTTTGACGAACCTGCTGGAGAAAAGGCAGGAGGCCACACGGAAGAGGATTTCAAGAAATTCATGGAAAGCATGAAGGCGAGTCGCAACGGTCCTGCCGAGGACAAAGCGCCAGCTGCCGCAGTCGAGGCTGCAATCAAAGCAGAGCAGCCAGCTGTTGCTTCCGCACCCGCTGTGGAGATTGGCCCTGACCAATTCTTCCTCAAGTTCGCTTCTACTGCTGGCTTAGACGTCAGCTCCCCGAGCGAGCCCAAGAGAGAGACTCCTTCCAAGTCTAAGACAGGCGGTGGCAAGTCCTCTCGGTTCACCTCATTCTTCAATGCCCCTCAGGATGACCCCACCCAACGAATGAAGACGGAGCCTTCAACGCCCATGGCTGGCCTTCCTTTCGGTGGCCCTGATCTATCTGGACCGGCTCCCGACAACGAGAAGCAAGCTTTCCAAGCATTGCTCATGAAGTTGCAGCGGTCAAACCTTCAATCAGCCACGCCGCCTGCTTCGCAACCATTCCAGGAGCCTCCCCCGCCTGCCCGTGAGCATGCTCCTTCCAGCTCCGTCGCGTCGCCCGAGCCATTTCAGCAGTATGGCGGCGAGCGCAGAGAGGACCCCCGCCCTCGCATGCCGCAGGGATCCATGTCTATGTCCGACATTCTTGCCCCGCGTCCAACGATGCCTCACCAGCAGCAGCCGCCTGCTGCTCGTCAAGACCAACTGCTCCAGGAGCTGGTCGGACAGCGCCACCAGGCTTCAAGCCAGGGATCCGGCCGAATGGAACCAAACCAAGGCCGCAACATGAGCAACACCGAGTTCTTGATGAACTTGATGAGGAACCAGCCAGAACCCCCACGAACGGAGCAGCAACTCCTCATGCGCATGCCGCAACCTCAGCGCGCCGCTCAGATCCCGCATGCTCCAGACCGCGAGCCCGACTTCCAGCAGGGACTTCCGCAGGGCGGCCGTGGTTCTCAGCGCCAGATGCGTGGTCAAGGCCCGCCTGGCTTCATGGACGAGAGTTTCCACCACCCTGAGCCAGAAGCGCGCATGCAACCCACGCAGATCTTGCAACGTCCTCCCCCGCCTCCCGGTTTGGACCAAATGAACCCCAACTGGATGCAGCAGGGCGGCGGCGGTCCTCCCATGCCCCCTCAACAGAGATCCATCATTCCGCCTCCTGGTCTTGCTGGTGGTCCTGGCCGCAATCACCCGATGGCCGCTATGTTCCCCCCGAACTTCCCTCCTGGAGCCTTCCCTCCTCCTGAGGCCATGGCAGGTCCCCCACCACGCAATATGCCTCCTCCCCCGGGCTTCTTCGGTGGTCCCCCTCCCGGATTTATCCCTCCCCCCGGAATGCCTGGCTTTCCTGGTCCGGCTGGACCCGATGGTCATGGCTTCCCCTTTGACGGACGTATGCCTCCCGGCGCCGCTCAGGCGTTCCGGAGACAGTAAACTACCCACATCATGGAACTATCATCGGCCTCGCTAGTAGGGGCTGAACTTCCGTAGCATATCAACTGCTACATTTACCTTGTTCGAGTCTCATCACCAAATGCTCAGATGTGTGTCTTTGAACAGGACATGTTATGAAACACTATAAACGTAAATGTCGGTATAACGACATGTTGCTTGTCGGATTTGCTGGACTAGCACCCAACCACTCATCCTCGAATACCAGATTTCTCCTCAGATGTAGGAGGAGCCCAGTCTATCAGCTTCGCATGAGCGAGGCACCGCCTCAGCTACCTCAATAAGGTCTCACGTTTATGCGATACGTTTCCTATGCCGACGAGCAGAGGGCACCAACAACTAAGCAGACATCTTTGTCCTAATCCAGACCCACAATGGAAGGGGTTCTATGTCCTTGAAGAAGACGTTGGTTCTAGGCGGTGGTACAATGAAGAGCAGACAACAAAGGGTGGCGAGTTTCTAAGCAAGGAGGAGCTGGGATAGGATATCCCTTATGTTACCTTAGTCTACCGCGGTGGACACGAATGAAATGAAATGGATGTTGGTTTTCCTGGCTTCCAAAAACTGTGCCTTGCTATCATGGTGACACGTAGTGACCTCATTGGTGCTTCTCTTGATGATTGCTTGAACAGTCAATCACATCAATTGTCCTAATTGAGTGGGGCCAGTCTTTCAACCCATTTTAACGACATTGCTACCATACACCAACAGGTCTCTGTCAATGATGGTTGTGAGTTTTGTGTGTGATTTGGTTCTACAATAGATCCAGAGTACATATATACATAGACCATCCAGCCCGGTCAGCCAACCGCCATCACTCCTCTCTTGCTTCTCCGTCTTGTTTTTCTTCTCCCTCCTCCACATCATACGCAAGAACCACTTGAGAGGTAAGAAGGGGAAAAGCCAAGAAGAGGCAGTGTTCGAGGCAGTATTCCTTCACACATCTATGGGAATCGTTGGAACTAATTCAACACCAAAGAACGCCACGCTGGCAACAGAATGTGCAAGAAAAGGAGAGTCAAGTAAAGCCGACAGAGAGCAAGATGGGCGAGAATCCCTTTGAGAGTGAAAAATCTTAGCCTCTCGCTTCCTTTTCCTCCTTTAGACTCAATGCTTATCCTTGTCCTTGTCCTTGTGGCTCTTCTTCATACCCAAAAAGTTGCGCTTCTTCTTATCCTTCTCCAGCTTGTGCGGTTTGCCGCCGTCAGATGGGGCAGGCGACGCTCCGCCGCCATTCGCCACGGGCGGAAGAGGCGCGTTGAGGTTCATGTTGCTCATCTGAGCCGTTGGCGGCGCAACAGGACGCCCGGGTAGACCGCCTGGTGCAGGTGCTCGGCGTGGTCCACCGGTCGGTGACGGTGCGCCCGGCGGTGCCATACCGGGGGCAGGGCGTTGCGCCATAGGATTGGGCGGAGGGGCAGGTTTCTCGTAAACCCAGGCCGGAGCACGGGGTGTCGGTCGCTCCATTGGTATGTCGAGCGTGCGCTTGTCCTTGCCCAAATCGCCTACTTGGCGGACGTAAAGTTGAGGTGTGAGCATGTGGCTCGTCACCAGGAAAATGTCCTTGCCCTGGCGGGCGGAGACGTCGTAGCAAGCACGGCTCTCACTGTATGTTGCGCCGCCAGCCATGAAAACAATATAGCGCTGTCGGTTTTCAGGAGGTCGTCGGCCAGACGATGCCCAATTCGGCCTACCGGCACGCAATGAGCCCTGTTGTGAGGCTAAGAGATCCTCGTTGGGATCAGCTGGTGGCTTCACGTAAGGGAACGTGGTTTGATCGAGAGTGCCTCGACAGAGGTCGTCCAGCATCGTCTGCATAGCCGTCTCAAAGCGGGAGAGCGAATATTCCTCGCTGATCTCTGCCGCTTTGGTGTTCTTCTGGAATAGGGGCGGTTGAGGAGGTCGTACATCCTTGAGTCCACTACGCACGGGGTGTCCACCCAACATCTCGAGGTTGACTACTATTTCCCCATCCCCTTGCGGCAGGCCCGAATGCGCGAGCAACCGGTTGATATCTTCCATCACCACCCCGTCTCTATACAGCACGTAGAGAATGATCAGGCGCAGTCTGTCCGATGGGGTGATGGCGTCATCGTCCAAAAGCCGCACGACTTGGTCCAATATGTTTTTAGGCTTCCTGAAGTCCTCATCCAATCCTGTGGCAAGAGTCTGTTCCACCGAAGCAATGTCTGGTAGCTTGTGATCTTGGAATTTGTTCATGGCTTCTTGCGCCAGACTCAGATGAAGCGAGTACGCCTCCTTCATCTCTTGGAACTGCGGCAAACCAGCCAGCATGTCTCTGATGGCGTTTAAGCTCGTTGTCTCCTGCTCCTCGTTGGTGAAATTAGGGTTAGACTCCAAGAACTTTCGGAAGTCTCCCATTAGTTTATCGATGGTATCTTTCATGTGTCGGTGTCGGTTGTCGACCCAGACCGGATCCTTGTCGGATAGCTCCACGTCCTTCTCTTCTTCTTGCGCGGTGCCCTCGTTTGTGACCATGCGATACGTCACTTTGTCACCATCTTGTATCGGGAGAAGATCGTGAGCCATTGCCTGATATGTGAACTCGTGAACCAGAGGCGCCAAGATATCCATTGACCTGTCCGTGATGACGAGTGTTCCCACAGGCCGCGACGACTGTGGTGGAAAGTTTGGGTTCCACTGCGCATATTCGTCCAACTCCTCCTGCACGAAACGAGCCAAATGAGAGGCAAGCACGGCGGCTTCGTGGAGAGGGTTCTTCGGTCTGTAGTATCGGACTTTTGGGTACTCGCCCAGTGTAACGCATACACCGGTAATCTGCTCTGGTTGTCAGCAGGGGTAAGCTGTGTAGCCCTGCCATCCGTCTGCTACGTACCTTCTGTGCTAGAATCTTCATGTGTCGCGCCACCAAGTTGTTGCACGCGGGGTGGTATAGAATTGGAAAGCTCCAAGGGTCTTTGAACGTGATCAAATGCGACTCGCGAGGGAAGAAGTCGATCGACAAGGTTTCGAACCCCGCGATGCGTTGCTTGGCTGGCGGGCAGCCATCAATCATGCGACGGATCCTCGGATCCAAGACACCGGTCCACACCAGGTAGGCTTCCTTGTATCTGCGGCGCTCAAAGTCGTTGATGAGGATTTCGACAATGTTCTCTTTCGGGGACAGAATGTAGATGGCGTCCATTTCAGGGTTCATATCTCGCTTCTGCTCGATTCGCTCGATGTCTGGAGTGAGGTTAAGACTTGTACCGTTGCAAGGAGGAAACGTGTTCGCGAGACATACTGGCGATATTGTTGTTGAGAATGTCATCTTCCTTCACAACGTTGTCTATAATTTTGTGGGCGTCGTCGTCAACAACTAAGACTTTCCACTAAAAGTATCGCCATGGTTAGCTTTGTTGATTCGCAGGCAGTCCGTCAGGCATCGGGTGGATCTCACGTCGCCTCGTGTAATGTTCTTGATTGTGTCGATGATGACTGTTCGAATTGTCAGTATCGAGAGCGGAAGAGGCTGGGAGAGCATCGTGGGCTCTCGGACTGTGAGGCTGCTCACCGTCATGCTGCTCCTGGAGCGTGGAGACACCCATCGTGGCAAGTTGCCGCGTGGGCAGCGAACAACTGGCAATGCGTCGTGTGAGGGAAGCGGGGGTTGTCGCTATGAGGTAGAGGGTCGTCAGAAAGCGACTTTAATCGGGCGACGACGATGGGCGGGTGCGCCTGTGTAAATTGAGGTGCTACAGATAGCGTGGCAGCGGAGTAAAGAGAGGCGGACAAGGCTGGAGGAATGCGCGTTGTCGAGCTTTCTGGATCGTGGGGCCCAGGCTCTGGAAAATGAGACGTCGGGTGGAATTCGAGAGCCACTTGGTATGTATGTTTAGCTGGAAGATTGGTGGTTGTCTTGGGCTTCGTTGTCGTCGTTCTTTTGGTCTGGCGGGGTTTCAAGATGGAAGAAGAACCGGTCGCAGTTGTGGGACTTTCAATGCTCCGAAGACCAAAACCGGAGCTTTGGGGAGGGGGAAAAGGAGCAAGGCAAGGTCTCGCAGGGTACGTTCCTATGCGGTCAGACAGCTTTGTCGTGGTTATGGAGGAGGAGGTGGTGGTGGTGGTAGGTTAGGTAGGTTAGGTGGGTGAGGTGGGTGAGGTGGGTGAGGTGAGTTGGAGGAGTTACGATCGGAAGAGGCAAGGTTGGTCGAGTTCGCGCAGCACAAGGAGCTGTGTTACTATGTAGTCGTAGGATGTCTGCACTGGAAAACGTGAAATATTCGGTCTATCGTTGAGGTTGACCGGAAGAAGGTGAACGCAATGACCTGATGCGACTGAAAGTCAAGAGGCCAGCAGGTTCAAGGCATGGAAGATAGAGGTAGAAGAACGGGAGAGGCAGGTAGTTCCACGTCCCAGTCCCCGTTCCCCGTCCCAGTTCTGGTTCCATTTCCCGTTCCACTGCGCACCGCACCGCTATTTTCCTCAGGACTCCCGCCCGCGCTTCAAGTTGAGGCCCAGGAGGGGGGGCGGGGCCCGGGCAAGCAGGCCGTAAGGTACTCCGTAGTCCTGGGCTCCCCATTGGAACTGGCCTGACCCCTCACCCAGAATGCTATGCAACACAAATCCTGGTACGGATACCTTACACTAGGTACGCAGTAGGTCCTCAGGAGAGGTACTTGGAGGTACCTCAGAACCTGAATCTTATACTTGGTCAAGTGCCCTACCTGCGCAGTACCTACCTTGCCTAAGGTACTATGCACTGATGTAGTGCAGCGGCATTTCCCCACTTTTGGCCCCCAAAAGAGCGATGAATGAGGTCACCGCCTTCCAGGTTCGCACCTGCACCTCACAACGGCGGCGCTTTTTGAAGATGCGGCGGCGGCGCGGCGGGAGATATTCTCGTAGCCTCCCCGTCGCAAGGATTATGGTTGTTTGCTCAAGACAATCCCTTGTGCGTTTCAAAGCCAATCTGTTACCCGTCTCTTCGTCAGCTTTATTCCACTCCATGGCCAAGCCATTATTCTTGGTGATGCTCGTTTTTGGTCTCGGAAAGCTACGGAATACGGTGATTTGGCAGTATTCCTAATGTCTGACGGTTGTTATACAAAGCAAATTCACTCGATAAAGGTTTGAGACCGTGTATCCGTAAATTGTGACTGAATCCGACTCAGGCTCCAACTTCGTTATTCTTCCTCTACTGTGGGTATCTCGTTGCTTCCTGTCTCCTTATAAACCAGTCCCCAGGTACTTGTCAATATCCTCGCTGGCGTAAAACATCTCTCGCAACCTCTCAGCCTTTCTCTTGTCTTCGTCAGCCTTCTTCCTGCACTGCTTGGCGTCCAGCATCTGCGGCTTCTTCTTCTTTTCAATCTTGCCCTGGATCCCTTTTGGGATTTTGAGCCCCAGCCCGTATTTATCCTCCTTTGGTCGAGTCTTTAAGGGATATTGCATGCCTTGCTCTTCGGCACCGAGACCCTTCCGTGAATCAGGGTCCCAGCCATGGGATGAAAGATATGTCAAGCCCATGCGCGACCGATCTAGTGCTGATGGGGGATGTGAGTGTGTGAGGCAGACTTGGTGAGCAATCGAAGACTCGTGCTTTTGTCCACTTGTCGCGGACTGCTTATTATTGCCATTGCTGTCGACCTCTCCCACGGCGTCGCCTTTGTCCACGGGCAACTCGCATACGGCGCATACTTGCCCTGCTGCTGGCGAAGGCTTTTCGGCTTCCGCTTGTTTCTTGTCGCCGAGCACCAGGCCAAGGTAAAAGTCGCCAACGGAAGCGCCGCTTTTTGTTTTATTGGCCGCCTGTGTAATGCTCAGGTTTGGATCTGACGCCTTGACGAACTGGATGGGCTTGCGGCTGATTCCCGCGCCAAAGGGTCGTCGATGTTGAAGCGGCACATCCTCTTCCTCTTCATAGTCCTCGTCTTCTTCCACTCGTCGCTGCATGTCCGCAGCACTTGCGCAGCACACTTTCCAGCACTTGTTCCTCAGCAAGTGCGCTCGTGGAAGAAAACTCAAGTTATGTCGAGTGTCGCTGTCTGCTAGTGCAATGATACGATGAGATGAAGGGGCGGGGTGATGGAGAAACGGTTGATGAAGAAGTTCCACTTCCCACGACAGGGGGGGAGACCAACCCCATTATGTCAGCGAGGCAACCAGCGGCGGCCTCAATCCCCTGCAAACTCTGCGATTAGTGCCCCTGGATTCTGGAAGCCACCGCCGCTGGGCTGCCGGCGGAGTGGGACCGCCCCTGTCATCGCAATTCGGAAATCCCCTGGCGGCACATCAGCTTTCCGCTCTGTTCTAGAAGGCAAGCTGGCGGCTTCGTCACACTCAGACAACCCACGCATATTTCGAACGCACGCAAACGCAATCGCCTACACTGACCGGCCTGCATACTAAACGACCTTCCCCACGACATTGCAACGAGTCCGAGTCGTCCGTCCATAGAATTTTCGAAGCATTGCTACCCCAGCATGCGCGACAGTCGCCGATAGACACCCCCTTCTTCCAGCTTTAGCCCAGTCACTCGTTCACAATGCCTCTCGATTACTTTGGCTACATCGCCGAAGCCGGACTCCCGACATATGTGACGGAGAACTGGTGGTTCATACTCAAGACGGTCGCGGCAGTAGCAGTCCTCGTCTTCATCAAGCTATGGAGCGCGGGTGCTTCCAACAAGGCCGAGCGGGACATGCACGGGAGGGTGGTCATGATAACGGGCGGGACGTCGGGCATAGGAGCGACGACGGTGCTGGAACTTGGCAGCCGCGGAGCGCAAATCATCCTCCTCACGCACACCCCCGTGTCGGACCCCTTCCTGGTCGAGTACATTGGCGACGTGCGCGCCCGGACCGGCAACGAGCTCATCTACGCCGAGCACGTCGACCTCTCCTCCCTGCACAGCATCCGAAAGTTTGCGACAAAATGGATCGACAACTCCCCGCCGCGCCGGCTCGACATGATTATCCTCGCCGCCGCCACGATCACGCCCGCGTCGGCCAAGCGTAAGGAAACGGTCGAGGGTATCGAGGAGACGTGGATGGTCAACTACCTCGCCAACTTCCACCTCCTCTCCATCCTCAGCCCCGCCATCAAGGCCCAGCCCTGGGACCGCGACGTGCGCATCATCTTCGCCTCGTGCTCCTCGTACATTGGCTCCCCGTCCCTCAAGGAACCCCTCGACAAGAAGACGTGGTCGCCCGGCACGGCCTACAAGCGCAGCAAGCTGGCGGTCATGGTGTTCGGCCAGGCCTTCCAGAAGCACCTCGACAACTACAAGCGGCCCGACCAACTGCCCATGAATGCGCGCGTCTTCTTCGTGGACCCGGGCTTCAGCCGTACGCCGGGGATGCGGCGCTGGCTCTCGCGGGGCTCGCTCCTGGGCTTGTTCGCTTACACCGCCGCCTACCCGCTGCCGTGGCTCTTCCTCAAGAGCCCCGAGCAGGGCGCGCAGGCGATCCTGTACGCGGCCATGGAGTCTAGTCTCGTGCGCGCGGGCGCCGGCAAGTTGATCAAGGAGTGCCGGATCGTGGACTTTGCGCGGACCGAGATTGAGGACGATGAGGTGGCTAAGAAGCTGTGGGAGGAGAGCGACAAGCTCATCGAGACGACGGAAAAGGACTCGGCCGCTCTCAGGGCGCTGGAGAAGAAGATGGAGGAGGAAAGGGCCAAGGCGGCCAAGGAGGCAGAGAAGGTGAAGGAGGTTGAGTCTCTGGTCGAGGCCATCAAGAAGGGCAAGGAGTCGCAAAAGACAAAGGGTAAAAAGAAGTCCAAGAAGGAGACATGATAAAAAGCTTTGGGGGCGTTTTGAATGCCATCTACTTATATAGACTACCTACTTAATGAGAAAGCAAGTGGCTGATCTGGTCACTTGTACGAATGTAACATGTATATTTCCCCCCTTAACTGCAATGCTGAATATTGGATTCAGTAGGACCAAAAAGTAATAGGCAAGGAAGGAGGGGGAATACTGAGATTACAATTCACGCCTCTGCCTGGAACCGAACAGCGCGCCCCTCAGTCAACCCAACCTCTGACTTCATAGGAGTATTTGTTTTTATCTGACCATTCGACCACCTCGCACACAGCTTGACCTGACCTCGCCGACTTAGACGGGCGCTGTTGCGCTAGTGACAGAAACGGGATAGAGAGATTGGGAGGGGTTATATACCTTCCACTGGGTGGCTGAGAGCGGGATGGAATGAGGTGGTAGGTCAAGGAGGTGAGGATTCCGGATGAGAGCTCTGGGTGAGGTGGAAGGAGCCTTTGTAATTCGGACTCTTTTCCCACCGTTAGCTCCAAAAGTCCGGGGGGCCCGCCCCCACCTTTCACCGTCCAAGTGCCGTGGCTCGGGTGCCATTACCCCAAGACTTGGAGCTCGGCGAGCTGGAGGTGAAGTAGGTATGTGTGTGTGTGTGTGTGTGTGTGTGTGTGTGTGTAATCTTTCCCCGCAAGGAACACCAAACATGACGACAGAAGAAATCTCACAAAACAACACATGCTTCTTTGAGATACCATATCAATCTTGCATCTCGAAATATCTCAGCTGTCCTTTTCAAAGTCCAATCCCCTTATTTCAACACAGTCGAATTCTCCTAGAGGGTCGAGCCCGTGTATAATGTCCGGTAGTTCGGCGGCACCAGGTATAGCGCATCACAACGCGACAGCCGCATCATCATCACAACCTCGGCATCCCCTTCCACTTCAGAGTGTTTGGGAACGACACCACATCGCTACCGCCGAGATAGCAATGGCGCAGCGACAGCAGCAGCAGATTCACCTCCAACAACAGCAGCAGCAGCAGCAGCAGCAGCAGCAGCAGCAGCACAACTCATCAATCCGGCACCCCGTCTTCTTCACGGAGAGACTGCGGCGGCCGCCGGTAACCTTAGCACCCGGGATGGGTCTCAGTCCCGTGGCGCACGGGTACGTCTATCAGGATGGACGGAGGAGGCTGGCGGCCGAAGGGAACTCTGCGCCGAAGCTGTGATGGAAAGAGAAATGAGGTTGTTCTGTTTTTTTTCCTTCTTCTTTTTTCAGCTCCCCCATTCGGCGCGATCAATGGTTATCGAAGCTTCGTGGGGAGGAGCAGCAATGTCGGGGTTTTTTGGTTGGCGCATCTGAATAAGTACCTAGTTGTTTGCCGAGGCTGACGGGGTTGCTAGGTGCCTTGGGGAAGGGGGGCCACTAGTAACCCAACATCTGGAGGCGGCTTGTGTTGAGTCTGGTGACGGCGAATACCCTTATGCCACTTCAAACAACGTTTCATTTTTCTTTTACCTCAATTGCATTTATCATGGCTTCTCGTGCCAAACCTGATGGTCACGACGTACGCAGGGTAGTCATTGCTCGGACTTGACTCTTGGAGGAAAGGAATCAGTAGTGGGAAGGACTGCCGTTTTGTTGATTGAGAGCTGACATTCTCGAAAATCAGCGACTTTCGTATGCTCAACGATGATCTGTTGAGAGGGAGAATCACTTGCTTTTCGATAAACTGTCTGGAATGGATGGGCTGGTGGGTTCAATGAGAGCGCGGAAAGTCCAGAAGAAGACGGGAAGGAAACGGGGGGAAGATGGACAAGGTATAGGTGAAATGAAGCACGAGTGATGCAGTGCATTAGGTACCACTAGGTTATTCTGTCCACCTGGGGACAAAAACGTACATATTAGAGAGCTTCGAGAAGATATGACTATGAATGAGCGATGGACATCTGGTCATGAACTCTTATGCCGTCTCTTTGTACAATAGTGATGGAGATATTTCCTCCTCTTTATTGCTCGGTTCATAGGCGACTTCGAACGGGCTACACGGTGAATGCGTCGGAATTGCTCGATTCAAGTGGTAAAAGCTTTACGGCATTGCTCATGTCCCCCTGATTGTGATAACAATGACTTTGCCATGTAATAAAGACACGCTGGATAAGTCTTGAGAGAGGGGCCACTATGCCAAGATTCAAGCATTGATATACACAAGCGATGAGTGGAAGTGAATTAATCAATTTACTTGTATTTCGATGTGGTTCCTGAACCCACAAGTGACAGTTTAGGAAATGTGTGGTTGAGTGTAACCCCATCGAGGGTTTCTTCATAACGAAAATTAAAAGCCTCCGTCGTTTTGTTTCCCAAAAAAAGTTGCGTTTCCCGTTTCGCCGTTTCAAGCCAAAGCATTTGCCAAATTTGACTAGCAGCACTCTACACCATCGAAACACGTCGCCTTCATGTGTACATAACTCCGTGCCCGCTACACGAAGCCAATTCGAAGCCAAACTCTCCAAATTCAACAACATGTGAATGAGTTGTGCTGCTTGCTTTTAGTTCTTCACCGCAATCACAATCGCGAGTACGATGAGCACCACGACCAGCGTGAGGAGCGCCATCAGCTTGACGTTCTTCCACCACATCTTCCTCTTCAGACCGCGGCTACGGACGCGGAACTCGCGCGCGCTGCCGCCGAGACGATCCGTCTTGTCGACGAGCAAGTCGATGCGCTCGCCCCTCTCGAGCAAGCCCTCGATATTGCGCGTCATGATGCCCCGGACATCGTCAATCTCGCGCTGGACGTTGGAGATGGCGTCGTCTTTCCCGCCGCTCGTGGTGCCGTAGTCGACCATGAACTTCTTGAGCTGGCCATTGTAGCTGGCGGCGCCGTAGTTGGGCAGCTCGGCGTAGTCTGTCGTCTCGGCGGGGAATTGCTCGAGGAAGCGGCGGCGGATCTCGAAGAGGAAACCAAAGGGGATGCGGCGGCCCAGCGAGGCGTCGGCGATAACGAGGAAGGTGAGGCCGCCGGCGGAGGGGTGCTCTGGGTGGTCGGAGGGCGCTTCGGCGATGTAGTGGATGTGGTGCGAGCCGTGGGTGTAGGTCAGCTTCTGGGGGGTGTTGTGCTCGATCTTGGGAAGGATGACGGAGGCGAGGGAGGAGGTCTGCGATACGGCCGATGTGGTGCATTCGCTGAGGATGGTGTTATTGTGCGCTATGCACGAGCTGTAGGACGATGGTATGTCAGTTGTGTCTCCAGTCGAGGGGGAGGTTCGAGCCGGGAGGGGAAAGCCATGGTCGTCTACTTACTAGAGCAACGGTGTGACGGGCGTCGACGAAGAAGCCATGATGATAGGTATTGGGGTGTCCAAAGGATCTAAGGAACCTATCTTGAGATGCTTTTAATTCCTTTTCAATGCGCCGAAGGGGGATAGGCAGCGATATTCCAGATGCGACGGCGGGTTGCGTACGTTCGTAGGTAAGGTAGGTAGACGGGTCGGGAGTCGGCGTGATGGGCGCTGTCGCAGAATGCAATGTGGGAACCTGGGGACCTGGGGATCTGGATGCGTGATGACGATGAGGACGGTGCAATCAGAGGCGGAGGCGCTAAGCCGGAGTGGGGCAACCCACCTTCACCTACCAAGGGCGAATCAGGGGTCATGGCGATAAGCATTCCAGACCTCTTATCGGCTCCCAAAATTTCCCAGTGCCTTCATGAATGTCAGTGACCACCATGCTGTCCCACTGCGCAGGTGCACAACTGCGAAAGGAGGTGGGCACGTAGACGACCTTGCCATTGACATACCCAGACAGGCATGCTTTTTGCATGTTATTAGTCATGATTTGTTGCGCAGCTAGTCACCCACCATGAGATCAGTTTTGCGAGCCACGAAGCTCTGCGCGGCGGCGACACGCCTTGCGCAAGGCCATGGCTTCGCAACATCCTCTCCGTCCGCCTATCAGGTACGCGGCAGTTTCTGCCTCCCTTTTCGACCTGACGGACACATTCTAACCACCACACTTGATAGGCGACACTTGCGAGGTATTCTACTAGGAAGTACTCACCTCCCGACCGCAAAACATCCAAGTACGACGTCTTCAGGAACATGATCCTCACTCAGTTCAACGTCGTCATTGACAACATGGGACGTTGGTCAGACACCAATACCGAGTACCGAAACTTTGGCGTTCGAAGCGAGTATGGCCTCAATAACGAAATCGCCCTATTCCGCGACACCATACAAAAAGCGATTGCTTTGGCCAACAAGGGTGCAACATTACGCAAGGAGAACCCGTTGTTCTGGTCCCTACGAAATGCCTTCATCCGTGGCGACGTCAAGGGCCTGACGGCAGAGCTGCGATACTCGTTCCAAAGCTTCATGCTACGATCGAAACTGACACACTCGACGGCGCGGCAGAGAAAGTTGGCTGATTTGCGGTATCCAATGGAATGGTTCCCCGCCACACGAGCCATGCAGCGCACCATTCATCTGCACGTCGGACCGACGAACTCTGGAAAGACGTATCGGGCGTTGCAGGCCCTGATGAACTCCAAATCTGGCATTTATGGAGGACCTCTTCGTCTCCTGGCCCACGAGATCTACTCTCGGTTCCAGGCCAACGGGAAGCCTTGCGCCATGGTCACTGGCGAGGAGCAGCGCATACCGGACGCGGACAATTACTTCATCAGCTGCACCGTCGAGATGACGCCTCTAAACCGAATTGTCGATGTGGCGGTTATAGACGAGATTCAGATGATTGGCCACGATGAGCGAGGGTGGGCATGGACCCAGGCCCTCCTTGGCGTCATGGCGAAAGAGGTCCATCTCTGTGGTGAAGAACGAGTTGTCGACCTCATTAAGTCCATCTGCTCGAGTATCGGAGATAAGTGTATTGTTCACCGGTATGAAAGACTAAGTCCGTTGCAAACGATGGAGAAGAGTCTTGGCAACGATCTTTCAAATCTGGAAAAGGGCGATGCCGTTGTGGCTTTCACGCGTGTCAACCTCCACGGTCTGAAGAACGCCATCGAGGAGACGACCGGCCGCCGATGCGCTATTGTCTACGGCTCACTGCCACCTGAGACTCGAGCGCAGCAGGCAGCTCTGTTCAACGACCCCGACAACGACTACGATTTCTTGGTGGCTAGCGATGCCATCGGCATGGGCCTAAACCTGGAGATTAAACGCGTCATCTTTGAGACGTCGATGAAGCACGACGGCACGCAATATCGTACGCTAACAACATCCGAAATCAAACAGATTGGCGGCAGAGCAGGAAGATACAAGACTGCTCGACAGGCAGCCGCTGCAACGAGTGACGAAGCCAACCAAGTTGAAGAGAAGAAGATGGGCTACGTTACAACGCTTGCTGATGAAGATTTGCCCGCGATTGCAAAGGGGTTCAACACCGAAACGGCGCCGCTTGAGGCTGCAGGCATTCACCCCCCATCACACATTATCGAGCAGTTTGCCGAATACTTTCCTCCCGATACACCTCTCAGCTTTATCCTCTTGCGATTGCGTGAACTCGCGCCCGTCTCAGAGCGTTTCACGGTCTATGTTCCTGAAATCAGCGCCAAGATCGCAGACACCATCCAAGAGTTCCCCTTGACGATTCAGGACCGCATCACCGTTCTTCACGCCCCAATCTCGCTTCGGGAGCAGGGGCAGATGGAACTCCTCAAGGCCATTGCCAAGTGCATCTCGACGAGGAGCAATGGCGCCCTGTACGATATTCAGCCTATCCAGCTGGAGCTGCTCGACGCCACGCTCGAAGATTTTAACAATCAGGGAAGGCGGTACCTCCACGCCATCGAGTCCCTGCACGCGGCCATCACCTTGTACTTATGGGTGAGCTACCGCTTCCCCAACATCTTCACGAGCCAGGCACTGGCGTTCCACGTCAAGGACGCCGTCGAAGAGAAGATTGAGTTCTACCTCGAGACCAACGCCGTCTTCGACCCCGAGGTACACACCAAGGTCCGTGAGAAGCGACGCAGGGAGGCGAGGGCGAAGGAGATGAAGGCGGAGATGGAGGTGGAGCTACGTAAACTCCAAGAAGAGGAAGACGAAAGTAGCGCAGAGAAGCCCGCTGGTCGCACGCCTTCCGAGGACGACTCTATCGATTTTGACCAGAGCTCTGTGGGGCTCGAAGAACCTCTGGTGGTGGATGAGAGAGATTACGAGACCGGGCTGAAAGAAAAGGAGGAGAAGCCGAAAGAGGAGTCTGCCGTCTAACAGGATAGTCTCAGACTGGAGGCTGACAAGGAGCTTTGGGAGCTTTGTCGGATGTAAAATAATGTAGTCTTGTAGCTACACTCACTTGTATAATTCTCTGTCTGTTGGCACAGGCAAAGCACGTCGAAATGCAGGAATAGGGAGGCTTAGTTAGGGCCTTGTATACTACAACAAGGACATCACAAAAGGAGTAGGGACAGGGCACACTCCAGAGAATATTGCAAGATGTAAGATAGGCATCATAGAATATAAGATAGAACCTCTCCCGCACTTTAAAAGGGACTGAACATTTTTTTTGTGTTGAAAGCTCTGAATATAAGACGGTTTATGGCTGGTTAGGTTCACGGTGTAGTTTTACCCCAAGCCCAAACGAACACCCCGCATTCTGGACGCTTAGGACGACAACCCTTGCCGGTTACCTCACTGACCCCACCATGTATCCCAGTTGCCTTTGGAGGGGCAAAAGTGACATAGCAGCTCTACCTTGCACAGCTTCCAGACAACTCCAACTGGCTCGCGCCCTTCATCCTACATCACCTCACAGTAAGCAAACGCATCACTCTGTCGAATTTCTTCCACAAACCACACCCACACGGCACAAGCAACACTCAAGGTTATACAACAAACGCGATACAAACAACAAGACAAAAAACCACCAAATTCAACCACAATGACCTCCACAAACCCCGACCCCTCCGCCGCAGCCCCGGCCTTCATCCCCCTCGAAGCCAACCCGGAGCTCATGACCTCCCTCCTCCACAAGCTCGGCCTCTCCCCCGCCCTCCAGATCCACGACGTCTACTCCCTTACCGATCCGGACATGCTCTCCTTTGTCCCGCGCCCCGCCCTCGCCGTCCTCCTCGTCTTCCCCGTCAGCGCCGCCTACGAGAGCCACCGCCTGGCCGAGGACGCCCTGCTAGACGAGTACAAGGGTAAAGGACCGCAGGAGCCCGTGTTGTGGTTCCGTCAGACGATAAGGAATGCGTGCGGTCTCATGGGGTTGTTGCATGCTGTTGCCAACGGGCCTGCGAGGGAGTATATTCGTACGTATTTTCCGTCACCCTTCCCGTATTGCCTTTCTCTGTACCTTTTCACCCTTGTATTTCCTTGCACAAGCTGTTTTCTTACGATACAACATTGGGTCTAACGAATACACAGAGAAACCGTCCGACCTCAACACCCTACTCGAAACCGCCGAACCTCTCGAGCCCGTCTCCCGCGCCCAGCTGCTCGAGAAGACGCCCGCCCTCGCCACGGCGCACCGCGAAGCCGCGTCCCAGGGCGCAACCGAGGCGCCCGAGGCCTCGGACGACGTGGACCTGCACTACGTCTGCTTCGTGCGCGGCGACGACGGCACGCTGTGGGAGCTCGACGGGCGGCGCAAGGGCCCGCTGAACCGCGGCCAGCTCGAGTCCGGAGAGGATGTGTTGAGCGAGAAGGCGCTGACGTGGGGCCCGCGCAAGTTCCTCGAGAGGGAGGGCGCTGATTTGCGGTTTAGTGCTGTTGCGTTGGCTGGGTCTCTTGATTGAGAGGTCGATGTGTCAGAAGATGGATTTGAAATGCATGTTATTTGGCGTTTAGGTTAGGCGTCGTTCGAGTTATTCGCCTGTTCAATCCAGGGTAGTGAGACGAGGACCCAATGAGAAGAGCTTCAGCTTTGCTGTGTTGAGGGAATGACTAAGGGAAAGACTACTTGTTACATAGGTGTAATTCCAAGACCGTATCCACCATTAACTACCTCACCAGAGTCAGTTAGTCTATCGACACCTAACTCTACTGACTATTTGACTTCCAAAGCTGCGCCGAATCTTGCGACTCGGGCTTCCTCCACAACTGGCCTGTTGTCCTTCTCTCTTCGTCTCTGCGTCCCTCGGATGGAGTATTGGCTGGCTCCTGAAGATCGAAGTCGAGCGGGCCGACGTCCTCTCGCATATTCGACTGATTATCCACGTCTAGGTCTTTGTAATGACTGCGTTAGCCTCAGAAAGACTGATATACGGCGAAAGAATCACTTGCCTCCCGTTGCTACGACCTCCTTGAACTCGGTCGACGACTTTCTGTGAGCCTGGTTTCCGGTATCAGGTCCGCTGGCAAGCCCCAAGCTCATGAGAAGAAGCTCGGAGGGGATTGAGTTGAATTCTGTCTTGGACTTTCTGTGGGAGTCGGTGAGGGTATCGATTGTAGTGGGCGTAGTGTGTGCTTTTACTGCCTCTGATGCAGTTGTGGACGGCGGATTACTCTCTGAATCGGAATCTGGCCAGTTTCCGGGCGTCTGCTCTCCGTAGTTGTGGTCATTAGGTGTCTCTGGCGCCTGCGCCTGCGAAGCATGCTGATGCTGATCATGAGTCAGGCTGAGGTACTTGGGTTGCGCATTATTCCCGCTGGGAGTGGCGAAGGGCTTGTCAGAAGAGGAAGAAGGAGAAGACTTGGTGCTGAGCGGGGGGCTCTTTCTCGTATCCTCGATGATGGCGGAGCCGTCGTGCTCGGTGAAGAAGGGGACCTAGCCCTGGCTGGTGTCGGCTTGCTGTTGGGGCTGGTTGGTGTCTTTGGAGTCTGACATCGTTTCTGGAGGATGACTGGACAAGAGGGGGATAAGCTAGCTGGTTGGAGTGGTTCTCGAGTGTGCTATGTGACGAGGGAATCGGAGTTGAAGATGTTCAGGGGATGAGACGTGTAATGGTTTGGAGGGCAATTGTCATGGGCTAAGAGGTTGGGATTGTACGATGAAGATGGAAATAGTATTGAACGTGGTAGTCTTCCGCGTAGTTGCAGAGAGTCTCTTCAGGTATGTGTGCCTCCTCATTGGACTTCATTTACATCATGGAAGGCCCGGGTTACCTTGCTCCTTCACAGGTCAATAACTCAGAAACCAACGCAAGAAGGAGGTGCACCCCTCCCCCATCTGCCGTCAAGTACACGACATCACTGACAGGTAATCATGAACTAGAAGGGTAGAGCTACATGTCTCTTGCCTCTGCCCGTTCCATCACGTACGGAACGTAGTACTGTTGGAAGATTTCTGCCCTCTTTAATTATTCATGGGACCTAAGTCGAGAGAGATTATCAAGCCAACCGTCCAATCACCGTCAACGTCGTATGCTCTGCTGACTTAGACCTACCTGAAATATCAAATGTTAAGTCCTAACTTAGCGATGCTCTTTGCGATCGGCAACCGGAACCTGCGAGCTGTCATAAGACCCCTCGTGTTCGAGCTAGTCACGGATGGAAGGCCCCTTTTGACGCCCCGAGTTGGTCAACTCGTGGAAGCCATCTTGATAAGACTCTGGGGAAAGCCTCAAACCAGTGACTAGTGGCAGTTGATGGTGTGCAGACCTTCACCCAATGATCTCCTCAAGACTCACTTTCCCTGAGGAACGCAGAAATAGTCTTTGAAGAATTGGGTATAGTGCGTGTGATGACACCGGCAGCAAGAGATGGGGCGACGCCACGATACTTGTCTGCAGCAGTTGAACCACTCGCAGGTGTTTTGTCTATCCAGATTTACACCGTATTCGTAGACAGGGGGGGTTTGAGGAGTTCATTCAGCTTCTTGGGCAGTAAACTCGGACTATAGTACGGAGTATTTGCAACAGCAGTGCCATTGAATAACGTGTGTTTCATCTGGAAGCTTGTTTCTTCACTTCTTCGCGCAAGGCTTCTGCGATTGTGAGGCTCACCAAGCCCCGAAAGGTCGGACGGACTGGGGAAACACCACCACCTCAGCATCAGCACCATCTACAGTCTGACGTGCCCGCTCGGGCCTCGGACGCTGCAGTGTTCAACGTTCGGACGTCGAATGGGGAGCACGGGGCACCGTCCGAGCGGCGCCGGGGGCCGACGTGCTTGAATCTGGGAGAGTTGCGCCGGACTGCGGGTATCCCGCCCACAACAGGAATGGGCACACCAGACGGCGTGACGGCGTCCTGGTAGTGTCGCTGGCCTTGCCTCTTCCTGGACCCTTCATTTGTGAACGCGAGGGGTGGTGGAAGATCCTTTCCCCTGAACGGGCTACCCCGCCTGTGTTTGGGTGCGGCCGTAAGTCTGGAAATCAGACCATGATTGAGGTTGGTATGGAAAAGCAAGCTGAACAGGTTCCAGTATAACGCTTCTGGAACCACTTCGCTGCATGATGGCAACCCCTCGGGTTTGGGTTGCACATTCGAAGTCGTCACTCACTTGAAAGCACAAGCCAGGGTGTAAAGGCCTATGATGGTGATATTGAAAGCAACTTGGAGAATTGGAATAGAGCTATCCATAGAAACCAACGCGGTCCACGTGGTGACCGATCGCCGCTAGAAGGCTAGCCGGATCGTGCGGTATGAAACGCTGAGAGCTTGCCCGTATAGAGCAAACAAACCACTCTGCGGATACGAGCTAAAGGCGATTCCCCCTGAATAGAGGCGCTTGCCGTTCGCCGGTGAGCAACTTTGGTAAATTAAGGTGCTATGGTGCCTAGCTCGCCCTGTGATTGTAATAAAAGGTCGAATGGGACACTCACCCGCCCAGAGATAGAAGATAGAGAAGAAAGACGAATTGGAATCTGTTTGTTTGTGAAGCCAAGCAGCAGATTGCGGCATTGCTGCCGGTGATCGCCGTCTCCGACTGCAGTGTCCATCGCCATTATGCATCCGGCCGCAAGACTGAGAGTGGCTGTTTTCTGTCACATTCTGTGACGCAGCTGAAAATTTGACGTGTCGATGCTTTGACGTGATGATGCCCACATAATCTCGTTTCCGGTTGATTCGTCGAAATGGTTCTTTGCAGAAGGGAGAAGCAAAGATTGGCGACAGAAAAGAAATAACAGCAGCTGCGAGGCGTCCAGAACATCTTCGTCTGCACCTAATCCTAATACAAGTGAAGTGACTAAGCAGACTATGTGGCAGGTGTGACGCGGTACCTGACTTCCCGGACTCAGATCTAATAGTGACGGGTCACAGGTGTGGTTCGCCAACTCTTTCCTGTAACACGACGGAAATCCCATCAACACCAATTTGATCCATCAATTGCCAACGTCGAAGGGATCATTTACGCCCCCGACAGCCGCCACACGAAGCAATGCCGCGAAATTATTGCACGGCTCGTTCACCATCCAGAACAGAGTCATTCGGAGCCCATCTCGTTCGCCGCCCATTCAGCTGGGACCGGCAAAGCTCACACCGTACACGGTACACCACACACCGCACTGAGATGACAGACCCTGCAATCATTAAGCACCACCGCAGCTAGCGCCGGAGACTCGATGCTTTTTCAGCACTGTGGCGACCTGAGCAACCATTCGCATGATATCTCGATTGAATCGGCCGTACTCCCTTGCCTTGCCTTATGCTTATTGACCTGTTGGGCTTGCCAGCTTGGAGCATGTCGACGCGGCACACACGCCAGCCTCCAAGATTGATAATTGACTTTTGGATGCGTCATTTCAGTTCCATGGAATCGCGGCCAACACATCCGAGGAATGATACCAGGGGCGAATCCCTGAGTGATCTGCTTCCGCCCGCCTCCAATCAGCAGGGGGCGCAGAAAAGATGTCTCGCACACGCGCATCTACACCAGGGGCCGGGGACCCTCTACAATGATCAATCCAGGGGGGCCAGGCACAGGCACGCTCATAGAAAATACGCAAGCAAGATAGACACAATGCAAGATGCAGGTGGACGATGCTTCAAACATATGAGCGGAGAAACGTGTTGTCAACATGGTTCGATAGGCGCCGTTTGGCGGGACGACGCTTGCTTTGATGCCACTGCCGGTCGACGACTAATACCTCACGAATGCTAAGAACAAACACTCATCCGTCTGCGCCGTTGACCACGACCACTCGGTTCAGTACTCCAAACGTTGAGCCCACTGTGACAAAAGTCCAGTTTTCCAAGACCAACGGAGCAAAGCCACACGCTACCAACTGGCCTTGTCCAACAGGAATTCTTTGACTTTGTTCCTGGGACACACTAAGATGGCTAGTCTTGAGACCAGTCAGCTGGTGCTGCCAATAAAAGCAGCTGGCAAATGGGCTTCTTTCCAACCCACGTCGATTGCTTTTTCTCCGAGGTGGCACTAATTACGACGTCTGACCCCTGAACCCAGGGCCATGTTTTCTTCTTTCTCGGATCGGCAGAGTGACCAGCATCGTGGAGGCGCATCGTCGTCTTTGGAACAGATCCATGCTTGTCTGCGCTTGCAATAGCTATCAAGATCTGGAATCTTCTCCAGGATAGCAATCAACCTCAGAACCCAGGCACAACCTCGACTCCAGATACCTTAGCACCGACAGGCCGAGACTGATTAGGCTGTTTGAACAGATGGATTGCCTTGAACTTTCAGTCTGGCAATCGTGGTGCCTAGCAGAAAATCACACAGAGGCGCGGAAACCTGGGACCTTCATCCACTTGCACTCGAGCCGGACAGTAATGACAACAGCCGGAGGTCTTGGATACTACGGAGAACGACCATGAAACTGGCTTGTAAGCCGTTTCGTGCTGTTCACACCTTTGTTGTCACTTTCGCACGGGCCCCGGTCCATCCCATCCTCCCATCCTCCCATCTATCCGTCTACTTACCTGTTTTCGAAACCTTGATGCGCCATTTCGTCCGAGCAACGAGTCTTGTCACCACCACACCACACCAACCAGCCTGTTCTAAGCTTCTTTGCCACTCCTGCGCCATTCCTCAAGGCGCTCAGAAGCCTGTTTGCATCTCAAGACAAACAGATGATCCGGGTATGTGGAAATCAGCATCTGATTGAAGCTTCCCCTGCTCTGCTGGTTATCTTGCAACGCTTTCCAAGATGTAGTCTCTCGACATCGCCTATTGAGGAGAAACTTCATTTTCTCTGAACTGGACAGCGAGTAGCCGCCCGTTCAAGTGACGGATCATGGATGGGCAGCGATCTTGCCTTTCAACAGCCAGGCTCTTCGAAGGCAAAATCTAAATGTCTCGATACTTGGCCTTTGACGGAAGCCATGGCTCTTCCGCGGGTGTGTGCTACATCACACCATGCGGTTCAGAGCAGCCACGCTCGGGGACATGGGTATCGCATCGTTTGACTACACGAAGCCTTCGACCTGGGCCCAAAACTCGGTCTAGCGTAGACTATTTTCTGCTCATTCGCTCCGCTCCGTCATGTATATGCACGCACTTCAGCCTTAGCACCCTTACACGACTCGTCGCGTCGCATTGTCCCTCCTTTCCTTTTTCTGTAGTCGTCCACCTAGGTCCTAGGATCTGACGCTATCCAGCCCACCCGCTCGGCTTTTAGACTCCCCTCCCCCCTTCTACCGGTAACCTCTTCCTTCTTCTCGTCTTCGTCTGTTCCATCGTCTTCTCACATCGTAATCGTATATGCGATGAGGTCTCGGTCTCTTGGTACACAACTGTCTTCCAGCCTTTGAATATCGCCTTCAACTTCAGTTTCGACCGGAAGCCACCCTTGAGCCTGCTGTCGGTTCAAAGCCTACCTAGTTGTTTCGTGTGGTCGCCATATGGAGGGCAAAAAGCTGCGATAATGGGCTTCTTGAAATTCTTCTCGTCCAAAAGATCGTCTGACAAGTCATCAAACGGTATCAAGGCGCAAGCATATGATGCTACGACTGCTTCTCTTCCCCCACTTCTAGGTAGGATTGATCCAACACTCAGCCCAGCTGTATAGTCTAAACTTACATGAATCTCCAGGTACCTACCCGGTTGCCGGCAATGGACCAACGAATGTCTTCGAGGACCTGCAACGGTCTCATCATAAGATGAGCGAAACCAACTTGTCTCTTGCAGCGGGCTCCGAAGCTTCTGCCCCGGCACCGCCGGTTTTACGATTTCGTGACTCCAGCATCGAGCGCCCGAGTTCTGCCCCGGGCAGCGCCGTACCTCCCAGCTTTTCACCTTCCCCGTCGGGCCGCTGGGGGAGAGACTCATCGAGGGGTCCGCCTTTGTCTTTTAGGAAACCACGGATCGGGTCAATTACATCAACGACGTCTGGTCTATCAGGACTATCTCCCGCCCCAAAACGAAGTAGCAATTCTCCAGCAATACCGTTCGAGGGAGATCCGTTTCGCCCACCAACTGCTCCTTTCACCCATAACCGGCACCTTTCAATGCAAAGCACAAGCACAGCTGCAGTCAGAGGCTTCATCGATCTGCTCGATGCGCAATCCGAGATCAAGCCCTCTGGATTTCAAAGTCGGGTGAAGGCGTCGGGCGCTCGGGATTACGGAGAAGATGTTGCTGACCGCAACATTGGTGAGAATGGAGTAGACCTTGAATCCGACAAAGTCCAAGCATTCTACGCAACAAACGGTGGTAGTCCGCGGGATCGACACAACGGCGCGTTTGCGGCTCCAGCGAGGGCCCAGTTTGGAGACAAAGAACAGACGTTTAAGCCCCCCCGACGCCACGATTCACTGGACAACGAGGCCCGCACAAAGTCTCTGACATCGGCGAGCCTCGGCCAGGTCCCATTCCGAACTAACATGTTCAATCCTGAAAGCTCCCTTAGCCGCGAGCCGATTATGGAGTCCGTTTCAGAGACGATTCGTGGCCGTCGAAGGCAATCGCTAGGTGCTTACATTCCTACAACACCATCGAATGCAACAAATGGTAGAACTCTGAGTCTAAGAAAATCAACAGCCGATGCTTCTGGATCTCCAAGCGCTCGACAACATAAGAGACGATCTACTCTCGGAGGCGAAGCTCCCCTGAACGAATTGGGAATCTTTACATCTGGGAGTGGGCAGCCTGATCCGTCGTTGTCGCCAAGGACGACCCAGAAGTCAACGTACTTGGTTAAGCACAACTACTCTTTGCCAGTCCAGCAACGGCCAAAGACTTCGTCAGGTCTTGTCCATACCGAATCATACCAAGCGGTGAGGCCGCCATCCCGCGGAGGGTCAGTAGCCAGTCCCACATTCTCCTCCCCAACCCAGAAGTCACCATCCAAACGGCACACCCTTTCCGCGATAGGCGGTGCTGCAGCATCTACCCGTCCTACCGAGTGGCCGCGGAATGCGAAGCCCGACGGAGGGTCCGGCACAAGAGGATGGGTCGGCCGAGTTGAGGTTGAGAGCTTTGTTGATTCTGCGGATGTGTCCTCACCGGCGCCTTCACCTCGTTAGTTCTTACCGTCGATTCTCTACCGTCTTCTGTTGTTTACTCCCGGAAGATCTCCTGCTAACAAGACTCGTTTGACAGATGTGATGAGAAGTGGCCACTCGTGGCGTGAAGCCCAGGATGATTCTTATTTACGATCCAGGAGCAACGGAGCACCATTTGGAAAGGGCAAGCTGGACGAGATCTACGAACACGTACCGATGCGGACGAGTAGTCTCCGGCACTGGTCGATTTCATCAGCGACTCCCACGATGTCGAGCACCAGCTCCTTTCAACGACCTCACTCTCGACACACGACAACGACGACGGTCGATCTAGCTACTATGTCATCCTTTCTAAATGACAGCTGCAGCTCCTTGCACAGCGGCACAGGAGATCATGTGTCGTTCTGCACAGCACTGGAGAGTGCCTTGCCTTCGCCGACTACCCCAGCAAAGCCCGGAGACGCGTTCAATATTGACGACTACTTGTCGTCAGACGACGACATTGACGCCGACTCATTCATCACCACGCGAAAGCGTGGTTCAGCACACAGCGGCGGCCAAGAAGAAGGACTCCTCTTCAGCGATGAAGGGTACGGCGAAGGTGGTCTGCAGTTGCCGGGCCTCTTTGATAGCTTGTCCAACATTCCGGACCCCGATGCCACGTCGCCGGAGCGGTTTGGCCACAGGAATTCCCTCAGTAATCTCGGCGGTCGTTTACATAGAAGGTTCTCTCTAGACCCGAGGATTGAAGCACCAATTTCTGCCTTTGATGACGACGACGGTGGTTATGTTGAGGACGAGGACGATGGTCTCTATGATATTCCCATGCGATCGGACCTGGCTCTCGGGCGCCGGGGCACGCGGAGGATCTCGGCGTTGGGGACCATGTACCAGAGCATTGAGGAGGAAAAGGACGAGAAGGTCGACGTCCGCGCTGCCATCCGACTTCGAAAGGAAGATAAGGCGCGGCAGCGTGCGTTGGCTAGATCTAGTAGATTGCAGCATAGAAGAGTATCCCAGTTCGAGGGGAAGCAGGGCGGTAGTGAGTGAGCGCGTCGAAGTTGGCGTTTTCAGCGAGTAAGAGAGTGTTCGAGTCGCAAGAGCGATTTGTACGTGTTATTGAGGAGTTTTAGGGGACTATACCCAGGGATATCTTAGGGATCACGGAAGGAGAGCAAAGGGCGCGGAAGAAGGGCCTTTGGCCGGGACATAGATCTTGTTGGGAGTACTTTCGGCAATGTCACGAATCACGTCTGCTTTCTTGGCCGTTTGATAAGAACAATATGATACCATGTCTCATTCTTACCACACTTCGTTTGATTCTTAATGTCAAGTGTAATGAGAAACCCGCTTATCAGGTAGTTGAATAAAATAATGATATCATTTATATGCGGGAAAGTACCTAAATGACCTCCTAGATTTGAGATGGCATTGCAGCAGCCCTCCCCTTTTCTCTAAATCTACTAAATAAGGGACGGTATCCCATGATCCAGACCCTCCAAAGGATTTGTGCGCCGGTAAGTCACTCTGAACTTCTTTCAAAGTGATTTACGAGAAAACAAACATGTTGTTATGCACCCCGTCGACGCCGCCGCTGCCATCACCACCACCACCACCACCACCGCCGCCGCCGCCCAGAAATGCACTCCAGTCCATCTCCGCCAGCTGCTCGTCGCACCACATGGACATGTCTATACTGTTGTCTGTCGAGGGCGTACGGATGGCGGAGCCAGCGCCGGAGCCTTCGAGGTCGGCGGTGACGGCTTCGTACAGGGCGCCGACGATATCGGGGGTGCGATCCGAGCCGCGCATCCAGGTGCGCATTTCGGTGAAGAGCTCGAGGGCCTTTGTTAGGCTTGCGCACCAAGAAGGTAGGAAGATGTTGTTGTCGGGGGAGTTGATTGTTGCTGCTGTTGGCATCTGGAGTATTCCTAGGTGTGATGCTTGTGAAGGGACTGTACATGGTGGCGGTGGGTACTGTGATTGTTCCTGTTGCTGTTGCTGTTGCTGTTGCTTGCGGGCACTGTTTCGCAAATGTGCGTCAATAGAAATGGAGAGTATTGGAACCATGCATGCTTGGAAAAGGTACCAAGCCGAGTTCCAGACATGGATGCGGTTCGGTGTCCAGTAAAGTGTAATGGCATCGATGGCCTCCATGGCGACGGAGCGGCAGGTATCGACGAGGGCTAGCTCGTCGGAGGAAGGCCCAGTGACAGCTGAGATGGAGGTGGCGCCGCGCCTGAGGGTATGGTCGTGGGCAAGGTAGAGTAAAAAGCTTCGGGTAAGAATGAGGCGGACGTTGAGGTAGCGGTTCCTCATGAACTCGCGGGCTTCCGTCAGCCGAGGCGGAGAGTTTGCTGGGTTTTTAAGGTAGTCGGGGAGAGAGTCGTGCCACTCTACTAGCTCGCGGTCGAAAGCCATGGCCTCGCGGGCGGATAAGCGCGCGGGTTGCGCAAAACGATGCTGAATCCTGTCACAGATGTGGCAGAACAGACAGCTTGCGCGTAAGGAGGCTGCTACGTAGTCGTCGGGGAACAGTGGCGTGGGTAAGAGGGTGTCCATGGTACTGCTGTCCCATCGGCCGCACGTAGGACGGCCGAGGGTCATGCTCGCCCACGTATCGAGGCAGAAAAGACTCCACCAGGTTCTTCTACGCGTTTCCGCACGTGAGATGTAATTACCGTGCTCTGCGACGTTCTCGGCACGACTGCGGGCGGGTTCTCGATGTAATCCTAAGGCTATCGCGACTCGGTGAGCGGCACCGAGCACAGCATACGCCATGTTGGGCGAGTTTCGGTAGTGCAGGTAGTAGCCCCCGAGCAGGCAGAGAGCTTGGAGACTCTCCATGTTGCCAGAGCCCAAGGAATCGAGATCGAGGTGAGCGCGGGCCTGTTTATAGTATTGAACGTGGAGGGAGTCGCTGCCGGAGGCGATGGAGCCCAGGGTGTAGACCATGTTGAGTAGGGCCAGCCAAGAGCCATCAAGACGGGTTCCTGACGCAAGGTTGCGTCTAAAGTCATCTTCATTGAGAATCGGTGTTACTGGGTGGATGTGATCAAAATAAAAGTCGATACAGCGCTGTTCCCGCAGAGGGTTCATGCCCGCGCCGGGGCTAACAAGAGATAGTGGCGGAAGCAGCTGAGACTGGTAATGGACATCGTTCCACGCCTTTGCTCTCTGAGCCGTGTACTCTTTGGCAGCTGGACAGAGACGAAATATCGCCTTGAGAACGGCGCTCATGGATGTCACGCCGAGATAGGAGCGGCGGTGCTGGTCTGTTGCTAGACTGAGGGCGTTAATATCGTCGCTGGTGCCAAGGGTCGCCGGCTGCTGGGCTGGTTCGTCCCATCGTCTCTCATTTGCAGCATCTCCATTTTCAGAGTTTTGCGCCGAATCATCGGGGCCGTCATCATCGTCATCCTCGTCAGCTGCTGAAACGCCAACTGGTGAAGGGTTGGCTTGCGGAGCCGAGGAGCGTAAAACAAAGAGAGATTCTCGCGGCAACAAGGCGAGCAACTCTGCTCGACTCTTGCCTACCAAATCATTCACGTCAACATCGGGAAAGAGTTTCTGCAGTATGCCAGACTGGGCGCGGAGCTGCTCTGAGGTCTTTTCGAGGGTACTAGGGTACACGTCAGCGTTGGTGATCCTGCAGGAAAGAAAAGCATCAGGGGAGTTAACGAGGGGCAAGGGTTACTGCATACCTCCTGCTCACAGCATGTCGTCTACTACGCTGCCTGTACTCGCATGAGTCTGCAACCTTGTAGTACTGGCAACTCGCACAAGGATGTCCACCATCGCACTTGACTTTGCGTCTGGTGCATTCCTGACATGAGCGGTTGACCTTGCGTGAGGTTGTCGGTGAGCTCACGGCCGAACCGTCGGGGCTACGGCGGCTGTCAAAGGAGTGGAACATGGTCGCCCGACCCGTGGCTGTTGTTGTGGTGGTGGTGGTGGTTGTAGTCGGCATTTACACGGCCCTCGGCACGGAGAAAGACCCAATTGAGCGGGAGACATTGGGGGGGGAGGGATATGCGGAGTGCCGGGGATTTGGAGGAGCGGGCCTGGAATAGAAATATGTGGGTTGAAGAAGAGGACGGGAAGGGTGACGTTGAACTGCCCATGAGGAGGAGTTTTAGGATGAGGAGGAGAGAGGAAGAGGAGGGCCGAGGAGGATGTTAGGTTGTCAAAGAGAATGGCGCGGGGAAAGTGCGAGGAGCGCCTGTGATGAACATGGGCGAGGAGCAACCCGAGTGTGGGGTTAAGTTGGCAGTTGCCAGTTGGAGTTTCTGTCTGCACTAATCAAGACCCGGGACGGAGTACAAAATACTTACCAAAGGCAAGTACTTAGACTAAGTACCTACCTTACCTTTACCTTAGTACGAACAGGGGTGATACTGGTGGTTCTATTTGGGAAGGAGTCAAGACCACTTTTTCACCCGACCCGGCGGCACCTTTAGGCCTTGAACCTTGCGGCCCCCTTTGGCCCCTTTGGCCTAGACCAGATGGCCCATTTTTGACACTTCCCAGGTTCCCTTCCTTCATTCATTCACTTTCATCCCGAGTCTCAAAAGAACCTGGAAATTCGGCTGCCTGAGCAACTACCTAGTCAATGATGGATCTAACCATGAAGTTGCAATTTACCCTATTTACAAAGCCACAATAAGGTAGTGTCGTTCTTGTCGCCTTCCCGTTCTGATAAGTCTGGGCAGCCAAAACGTTAAACGTCAAACATCAACTGGTAATGCCTCGAGCACGTTTTCCAGGCACCAAGCATTTGACTTTGGCTTGGCTACATGTGTTGTCTACGATGCCGACTAAGAGATTAGCCCAAGAGTTGTTCCACTTCCCAGCCCGGCCCGATGATCTCCAGCACGTCAAAGCGAACCCAAGGTAACCTAGGCCCGCCCCAGATCTCTCCTCCACTGCACACTACCCCAAGCCCCCCTGATTGAAACACTGGGGACGTTAGTTATCATGGTAGGGTTCTTTCTAGGCAACAAACATTCTAGCTTTGCTTATACGATCTCTCTCCGTAGTTACACCGTCAAGTGCCGTCAAATGTCCCCTTTTTAGTTTCAGCCCCATGGCCACTTCACTACCTTGCCTACCTTGGGTAGGGCTAGACACCTTCCATCACGACATGCCCATGACCTTTTGCGATCCGTGGTCCGTGGTATCCGTACTAGCGCAACGTTGCAAGAACTACGGGTTCCCCGATGCGTACATCCGCTGTAGATTCATTACCTGCCTGATTCATTGCACATCTGAAAAAAGAATTCATCGAGAACGTTGCTGGCCAGAGCGTGAATGAGTATTCCTGCAAGGTATCCAATCTCCGGGGAATGGATGACAGTGAAGTCCTCATACGCAACAGTTCCAGACCTTTGCCCATTCTATCACCATTCCTATAATAGTGAACACAGGTCTTCTCGGACAGCTTTAAACCTACATCAAGCCATTCTCATCTGCGTGCCTAGAAGTCTAGGACATGGGAACCCACGTGCCTCGTGTTGCATATTGCGCCTACTATTTCCGGGCAGGGTCCGCGAGCAATCAGATCGACCCAGTTCTAATCTCTTTCCAAAAGGCCCGAGATGTGAGGCTGTCTCTCGTGCCGAAGGGATGCATGCTTGGCCGACCCCCTTGTGACGTTGTCTACTTCCATCGCTGGCAATCCAGCCTCGGCCCACGCCCACACGCCAAAGGATGCATGGCGTGGAGCAAATAGCGAGAAGCTTCCCAAAGAATCCAAGGCGGAGACCGAAGGAACGCCCGCATTGTCCCAATTGCTTCTCCCTGCCTTATCCGTACAAAGTTGAGGCGCTCGAGGCAGATTAATTATCGGCAGGACCCGCCGCCATCAAGGAAGCACATCATAGATTAAGCTAGGGGGGGGGATGGACTGCCGGTCATAAAATGAATGAAATGTGCGATGAGAAACCGGGTTACTCCTTTTGAACGCGAATGAGAATGCGGTGTACGAAGGAGAATACCCTAAGGTCCAGTTGTTAGTTTGATAGTTTGTTAGTTTGGAACTAGCCATGTGGCTTGATCTGTGCCCACTACACGGACACACCGAGCAGATGGGCAGGCAAGAGGGCGTACGGGAGGATTTTCTGGTGGATCGCATACCACCATGTCTTGATCCCTGAAGACGATGCCGCATGCGCCCTGGGACTGCTTAGCAGGTTCATTATCAACCCCTCACTAAGGTAATCCAAGCGATCCTCTGTAGATAGGGGCAGCTAACAGAAACTCTCATCGTAGTCGGTCGATCCATTGCGAAACACACTTGAACGGACAGCCTCTAATGGATAATGACTAAAGGTATAGCTGAATTGCTGCCTTACCCCCTAAGTAATGCAAATATTTCTGGGCAAAATAACCAGCTGTTACTCTCGGCTCCGTCGGATTGTAATTCGGGGGCCGAGGCAGGCACCGTAGTCTCTTGCTAAGGTAACTCACCTTTGCGGAGACGGTGACGCCGAGAACCATGTGCAGCAAGATTGCCATCGAGAAGCCAAAGTTGAATTGTTCCATCACATGTTCGCCTGCTTCGTTGGACTTTGGATACCCAAGAGCTGCGCCTTGCCTTTATTCTGGTGCCTAGCCTACAGCATGTGGAGTTGTCGTGCGATGCCGAAGGCTGTGAACTAGATGGCATTCAATCGACAAGTTTGACTCGATCACACTCTAGTGTCTCAGTCGGATCATCATCGACTGTCCGTCATTTGCCCCAAATCAGACCCTGGAGTCTTCTGACTGTGGGTAGAATGGTGATCAACTTGTTCGTCCGCGGCCAAGACTCAAAATGGATCAACAGGAGTGACGCCAACGAGACAAGGGGACGAGGGATGCGTGCTAGGATTATTTTTCCCAAGGAGTAGATTTGGCCCCAACTGCTGGTTCTTGATGACCATTCCAGGTTTTAGCAACGTACCATTACTTGAAGCGCCTTGATTTTCCTTGAAGCAGGATTGGAGGTAAGAGAAGACTTTTCAGGCAAGCTCGCATGATCGACCTACACACAAAACTCCTCGATTTGTACAGGGGCTGATGTTGACTTACCCCTTGGTGATCATTCGATCATGGAAGGCGTATGAATCGCTCATGAACAATGCGGAATGTCCGGCAGGTAACGTACGGAGGCGACACCTGGTTCTGGCGTTCGAGCGCTATTCAATCTCTGGCTGACCTGAATCTACTAAGCTGGGTGATGCAAGCGAAAGTAAAACGTAATTCTGGAGTAATCCGGAAGTCTTTTAGATGTCTTCGAGATATATGCTGCCAACTCACCGAGAACGGTGTCATGGAGAGCAATACGGCCGAACGGTCATCGCCCAGGGGTTGCTGGAGGCCGTTGATACTTTCGCAGGGGGTGGGTCTTAGTGCTCTATATTTCTGGAAAGCATTTTTCTGCCAGAGAAAAAAAGCCTATTGACGCTTTGGCAGTGAATTCAATCCGGTCTCAGGGGGTCATCATCACAGAGAGGGTAGGCTGCATGTCTCTGGAAGGGGGCCTGGGCCTGGTGCTCCATCATCCATGGACGATTGCATCGCCGCAAGCTCTGAACCATTAATCACATTATCGGAACACTTGTTTGCAGATCAACGGCTTCTCATTATAGTCAAGATCAACTATTGTGAGGTAAGAAAATGAATGAAAATTGGGGTATATGTCTTGCTTCTGACTCTTTGAAGACTTTCATCATGAGTGAATGGCTTCTACGTATTATCGTCCACAATCCAAGCAGCTTCGGCCCACAAAACATCTCAAGTTCTCAACCCCGAGACTAGATGCACGAACCTCGGCTGGTAAAATGAACTAAATGTCTTCGATTGTGTAGCAAGAGCACCCAAAAGCTCCTCGGCATACCTAAGTATCGATGCCGGATAGGTAGCGTATATCGGAATTTCCTACCGGGCGTTTTGCGACCGTTCGATACCGCCCAGATCGCCGGACTTTGAAGCTAAACTTAGGCCACGTCCACGACTGACGGGTGTTCCATGAGGACGACGCTAAGTGTCATTGATCTAAGTAGGGCAAGTAGTATGAAGCTAGTGAAGCGGCACTTGGATGCCGAACGCTAGATGCGCCGAAAAGTAGTAAACCACAATCCTGGGCACCTTTACTAGAGTTTAGATGGCTAACAAAGTGCTAGAGGCATTCATGGGTGATGAGGAGATCTGTGAGATTCGATCAACAGTCTTTCATCACTCTTCGAATCGAAAAGGATCATTAGCAATGGAATGACTGGGATAGGATCCATCCGTTGCCAGTCACACATATTAGTCAAAGTAAATGAAAGACAAGAAGTGACAGTCCACCTTGAGCTTCCGATTTCGTCAATGTGGACAGTTAATATGGACCTCGACTTCCATTTCATTGCGTACTAAAGGCTGAATAAGGCGATGGCGAGCTTGAATTGACTGCTGCCTGGAATTTAATCTATTGTTATTCATTTCCCTTGCAAAAACTCTCCGGGCAACGTCCGATTATTACAAGGCTACGATTCGAGCCGCCCGAGCCTGATCCAACCGTCGATCGAGCATGCCATCTGGAACGAAATGGTTGTAGAACACTTCAATAGCATCCCTCATCTCCTGAAATCTACCTCCGAAAGCTTCGGACCCGAATCGGTAAGAAGACATACTATCTCCAGGGCCGCAATTTTCACGGTTCCAAAAGTTCCATATCCCCTTGCGTAGTTGCCAATTCATCTCAATAAAGCTACCGGCACTGCTCAGGTCAGGCTGCATCACGGCCTCGTGCTCCTGATCCACATTGCTGAACGACTCCTCCCATGAGGCCAGCGCGGCGGACTCGTCCTCGTCCCCGTTCCCGTCCTCCTTGATATTATCAATAACGAAAGCCCTACGCGCAAATTGCCGATCCATGATACGCTCGGCGAGGAACCACGAGGCTGCCTCGGCCTTGTCAGCGATGCGCAGACGGCTCTGGTACTCGGCATCGTAATGTCGCATGCAGGTCTCCACGCGCTGCTCGACGGAGAAGGACTCTGGAAGAGGCAACGTGACGACCTCGATACGATCCGCCCCGTAACGAATCTTTGTCCGCTTCATTTTGGTGTGGTCAAACAGGGCGCGGGCAAGCTGAGCGCTGCGGGCGGGACGAGCAGTCTCCGTGGTGTCGTACACGACGAAATCGAAAATTGGACGTAGAGCCCGGAGCGCGGTTAAGTCGGATTCAGGGGTGTCGTCATGGATTTGATACGAGGCAAAGGTTGGAGCGCCGTCGTGACTGGGCGCGGCCTGAAAATACGTCTTACTTGGTGAGCGCCTCTTTTCTTCTTTTTTCTCTTCTTCTTCTCCTTCCTCTTCGGCTATTTCTCTTTCCAGGCGAGCTGCTTCTTCTATTCTTCGGCGAGTGACTTCCTTTGCTCGCATGCTGGGAGGGGCGCTGTCTCGACGCTTGTTGTCGAAGCAGTGGTGACACATGGCGGTGAGAGATACTGGCGTTATGCTAAGAGGGCGAGGCAAGATACAAAGATGCTCATGGCCTTTTCGACTGTTGGCCGAGGGAGATGACTGATGTGATAGAGACACAGAAAACAGATGTTTGCTGATTTTCTGAATCAGTGGCCATGGCTGCCTAGAAGTTATCATGAATTGGGTTGTGGGCTGCCGCCTAGTCCACCTCCCGAACAAGGCCAGATGCCCCGCCAGAGTCATGTGAAGGCTTTGGAGTCTATTCGTATGTGAATATCTATAGTAATTCTGGCGAGAGGAATCATTGACACGTTACCGATGCTGGTTCTTAAATCCGAGTCTCACCCCTCAGTTTATCGCATTTTTCTGATATTCGAAGTGCTTTTCTATTTCGGCCGCGTCTTGCCTCTGAACTTCTCGGAATGACAAACGGCTCATTACTCCACCATGGGTATGAATAATGTTGGAAGTGAAATCGGGTTCATGAATACCCGTCGAAAAAATAACGGGATTACAACACTGACTCCGCTGACCTGTATTTAAGACCGTGAAAGAGTTCATCTTCAACTTGTTTGTCCTAAGATCAATTTTTAACCGAGAGCCGACTTGAGAGCTGAATGCCAGGCGTGCGTGGTTATGCGCTTCAAAGGTACCGCTTAATTAATTTCTGATCTTCAACGGCAACGGCCTGTATTGATTGACGCGCTGAAATCAATTTGATGGTGTTCTTCATCCTACGTCCAAGATCTCGTATTCCTAGGCAGATCAGCTGTTGAGCCAAAAACGTCGCAACCATCCCTCGAATTATTCGGGAAACGCTGGCTCACCGTGTAATCTCTACGCAAACGACAGCGGCACCGACCGTTCGATGTGCTTACTTGGGGTAGGGGGACCGGTGAAGACCCCTGGATCGGGATTAGCGACGAGTTCTCAAGCACAGTGCTGTGAAGGGCGCTGGTTTGTTGGTTGATGATCGCCCCAAGGGTATGGTGGGTTATCTCCATTCGCGATGAGGATTTCGCCAAGACACATCAACCAACAACGGGTAGTTTCCTCCGGTGAAAGGAGGGGTAAAATCGCCTCTTCCCGTCATGATGATAGATTATTTCAAAGTACTGATCTTCTGGCCTTTGACATCGGAGTCCTTCCGACGGTCATATTCTCCACGTACTCTGCTCGATGCGAAGCGGGCGTGATTGAGCATATGATGGACGCCTCAACTCAGCCCAGCGCGGCTCCAGCGACTGCTCCCACGGCCTCACCGGCTGTAGCCGCGATTGAGCCTTCGATAGTGGCGAACGAACCTGTGAGAACTTCTGCGCGAAATCCGCCTACTATAACAGGGCTTGTGACTCCAGTTTCTTGAGGAACCTGCCCTTAGCATGGCGGAAGAGTAACAGCATACTGATACATCATGGAGAGCTAGAAGCCTATTGTTGCAGCTGACAATGATGACCATGATTCTTTGGCAGACACAGAGAGGTATGCGCGCGACTTCAAAATTCCAAGTGAGAGGCAACACTGACAGAAACTGGCAAAGCGTTACGACCGAGTCCACTGCATCGCTTGCCGAGAGTATCACCGAATACCGCAGGATCCATGGTCGTACTTATACGCAAAAGGCCGATTACTGGGGCCCGAACGATGAGCAGCAAAACGAAGGGCTTGATCTCGCGTGAGTAAAAAGAAACTGCCTCCAAACGCTCATTTGGCTAATGCAAGCTCTGTTGTAAGGCATTACTGGGAAACTCTACTCCTCGGAGACAAGCTTTTTCTTTCACCACTTGGTGATGGCCCGTTGGTAAGAAACTCTTCCATTCAGAGTTTCATTTCAGATATATTTCTAACACATAGAACAGAAGGTCCTCGACTTAGGAACCGGTACTGGAATCTGGGCAATGTAGGCCTTTGAACTTTTCCACCCAGAACTCCGCTCTTGGATGGGCAAAGCTGACAGGGGACATAGTGACTTCGCTGACGAATTCCCGTCTTCCGAGGTGACAGGAGTCGACATCTCACCTATTCAGCCTGGGTGGGTGCCACCCAACTGCAAATTCCAAATCGACGATGTCGAACAACCGTGGACATGGACTCCTGATTTCGATTTCATTCATCTCCGCCACATGGAAGCCTGCATCTCCGACTGGCCTGCTTTCTACAAGCAAATCTACGATCACCTGAAGCCTGGCGGATACTTTGAAATGAAGGACTTTGATATTGAATTCCGCTCTCAGGCATATGGGGACAGTCTCCCGGAAGACCACGTCTACCGCAGGTGGGGCAAGATCTTCTTCGAGGCTGCAAACCGCCTCGGCAAGTCCATGGATCAATCCCGAGGGGGCCACAAAATCGCCGACGCTATGAGGGACGCCGGTTTCGTCGATGTTGTCGAGAAGAGCTGGCCTGTACCGATTGGAGGTTGGCCCAAGGACCCCACGCTAAAGGAGATTGGCATTTGCAACTTGGAGTTTCACGACCAGTCGCTTGAAGGCTTTTCCATGTTTCTGCTGACTCAAGTGATGGACTGGGATAGCATATCAGCGGGGGTTTTCGTCGCTGAAGCACGCAAAGCTCTCAAGGACCCTAAGCTCCAAACGGTGATATACTTGTGAGTTTATCATGGCTTCTAGGGTCTAGTCAACGCTATGCTGACATGAAATAGGCAAAATGTGTACGGACGCAAACCTGAGGGATCATCTTAGCTTCGGCTTCCCAAGGCGCTTCCCACCTTTTGACAGCTTTGTTGACCACGGCTAGCACCGAATAAGGTGGTTAGCTTGAGTGGGGTCTCTTAGTACCTTCTTTGGAACGAATTGAGAAATAGATGGGAACAACTAATAGAGGCCTTGTCTGTTTAATCATGCCTCGAATTTCTTCGACTTTGCCCCTTGATGTTCTATGACACAAACTTTACAACTTTGACTTCAGCTTTGCATCTATCGCTTCGAGGCCGGACGGTCCCCCGTAAAGCTGCGCTTGTAAACCATTCGTGTTGATCTAATAGCAAAGATGTTAGTTATGTCGCCATCAACGACGATGGAATCAAGGTTGGCAATTCAGAACCTACGTGTCTCGGTCCAAGTTGATCCACACGCTCCACACCAAGCAGCCTCATCGCGGTGACGGTCTCATCTGCAAGAACTACCCAATCACTTCAGCTCACGATTCGCGCATGGAACCTCTTGCGACCAAATCGAACTTACTCTGTAGTGCCTTTTCTACACCCGCTTGCCCCCCAACAGCTAAGCTGTACAGCGCCGCCCTCCCAATACCGACACCCTTGGCTCCTAGAGCTAGAGCTTTGACGACGTCTGTACCCCTTTCGATGCCTCCATCAATGAGAACGTCAATCCTGTCAAATACTTCCGGACAGAACTTCCGAATCTCCAGAAGCACTTGTACAGGCGTCATTGTCGTATCCAGAGCCCGTCCACCATGATTCGAAATGATGATGCCCTTCACACTGGGAAACAGGATCGCCGCATACGCATCCTCATGCGTCTGGATGCCTTTCAGCACAATCGGGAGAGTCGTCTGTTTGGTGAGCCAGGCGAGTGTCTTCTTCCACGTGAGGCCCGATTCCGTGCCCCATACCCCCGGCGGGGCGCCTCCCGCAACCTCTACCATCTTGAATCGCTCGTCTGCTTCTCGCTTGCCGGGGAATGGCGCGTCAAGTGTGAGCACGATGAATTTGATTTGAGGAATGGCTCGTATCTGCGCCAACGTCCTCTCAGTTGCTTCGATATCCTTCAGGACGTAGAGCTGCCATGCATAAGTCGCGTCTGGGCCGGCCTGGACAATTGCCGAGGGAGACATTGACGCATTCTTGCTAATGATCTGCAAGCCCTTAAACTTTGAGCACGCTGCTGCGATGCCTGCCTCGCCTATTGGGTGCGCCAACTTGGCCATGGCCGCGGGCGAAATGTAGATTGGCATTCCGACTGCATTTCCGAGGAGGTTTGTCGATAAGGAGCACCGTGTGCAGTCAACAAAGACTCGTGGTCGTAGGAGGATGGAACGGAAGATGGTGCCATTCCCAATCTTGGTGACCTCGTCATCTGTTCCGGAGGCGTAGTACGAGATGGCTTTTGGGCTCATCTTTCGCAAGGCATAGTGCTCCATCTCAGCGATGCTCAGGATCTGAGACACTGGTGGTATGTCATCTGACTTATCTGGTGATGGCGATGGGTCCGCGAGTACGTCCGTAGAAGGCATATCCGATTGCAGCCCAGCTCCCGGTGCTGTGACTTCAAAGGTTCCCATCATTTGGCCAGGCTGTATATACTCTTCCAAGATCTCAACTGGATGGATGGCATCGAACGCTTTGCTAGCATCTTTGCCTGCATTCTTCAGGAGGATGGCTTTACCGCCCGGGTGATTGGGGAGGAATGATGTGATCTACCGCCTCTGGTGAGTTTTGACATACTTGTGAGGACTAGAAAAACGCACATCGTAGACTTTGCCATGGATAGCCATCCAGCAATCATCAACAGTTCGATGTTGGCGCACTAGGAACTTTTAGCTTTGTGTTGTTTCGTCATGAGGTGGCAAGAGATAGGCACCTTCGGGGAGCGACCACGTTCGACTCATTATGGTTAGAAAAGGATCACCTCAAACATCGTTTGCTTCTGCGGATGGATGAAATTTACAGCACAGCATGAGACTGCTAAATTCTTGCAGACTGGTGTCATGATGCTCTAAAGCCATAAGGCGCGAACCGTAACCTCTTTGAACAGGTACCTCTGCGTGGTCTGTGGCATGTATCTCACCATACCCACATTTGCACTTGGTCGGGAGTTTATACTCCCATAGGCTTCTTTTGGATGCGGGCTTTCATATCCCCGGTGCGAGGTAGGCACATTCCCCAAGCTCTCCGCAGTTGAATCCACCTTTCTCCACACCATCTTGGTCAACCCCAAATTCCTACTTCGACGTCTGGGCTCACCATTGGCAAAGCGGTATCCGTACTTACGGTAGAGAAACCAGTTGGATCCTTGTTCGAAACCGGCGAACGATTTAAATATTCAAGTGTCTAGGAGAAATGCATAGGACCTCTGAGATTCGAGAAGAGAAAAAGCTGAGACTCACAGTCTCACAGACCACGGGTTGTCCGGTTTCTACTCTGTACCTGCCTAGCAAGCTACTAACCCTCTCATGAGCTTGATCTGCACTAAAGGCTCAAGCAGCTCTGGGGCTTTAGTGAGATATGTAGTACTGAGTCAACCCAGACATGAAATCGCAACTTGACGTTGCCTTATGGATACTGTCGGTGTAAGAAGAAGAGCTTGTGGGGACCTGGTCGGCCTGGTCAATGAGTCGCGGCACGGGCTGTGGCATGCCGGTTGCAACTTATCAACCTTAGCACAAGAGAAATGTCAAGTCCCTTCACGACCAGGGCATAGGGCATGAGATAGCTCTTTCACCATCATCAATGTGCACAATGATTGAATTTACTCACAGAACTGAAGGACTGGCAAATGTCCAGTCTTGACCGAATGCGCTGGGATGCTGAAATGATACAATTTCATAGTTCCACTTTTAATTTTCAGCCCCTTTCTAAGGCTCTTAGTTGCTAGGCAATTGGAGGAGAGGTCCAACAGGATTATGACTTCACATACAGCAACTTACAGTTCATTCTGCACACTGCTATAGTTCAACGCTCCTAGCACACACTCTGACTCCAATCTGATATTTTCTGGTTTTGACAATTACCTACTTACTCACAATATGGGTAGAGGGCAGAGACGAAAGAAGACAAAACGACTGGAGGCCCACCAGCCAGAGGAGGAGCAAGAGTATCGCCAGGTACATCAGGAACTACAGCAATTGAGGCAGGCGGCGCAAAAGCAGGAGCAGACATCAAAGCAACAGCATAATCGACAACAAAGAAAGCACAAGGGTCCATCTTCAACGGAATACACACGGCCACAATACAACCCCAAGAATCGTCCCGAATGGTTCTTCCGCCACATGGAATGGTTGTCTTGGTCGTCCGCCGATCATAATCGCAGAGCCTTTAAAGAAAATCTTTCTGACATTGAGCCATCAAAGAGGAAGTGTACCTATGAAGAAGATGGCTCTGATTGCGAGTGTGAGATGCCTATCTGGCGAGAATACATAGGCGATGATGAAGAGGAAAGGCTTTTTCGAGAAGCGAAATATAAACGGGCGATGTATAAGCGCGAACGGCTGCCTGAGACCAGCAAACACTACAAGATTGGAAAGAAGATGAGGAGGGAACGCTTGAACCGACAAAAGAACGACCAAGTCAAGAAAGTCAAGTCGGCCATCGACACTCTGCTACGGAACGGAGCGAGAGACGAGGGAAAACCTCTTTTCTACATGAGCCGTAATATTTTGTCTAAGTTCGACTTAGTGTCCGAGGACTACACAGCTCCCTTGGATCCAGATGGCATTCGAGTGTCCAGGATGATTTCCTTTTCCGACATGAACTCCTTCCGCGCCATGAAACACACATCGCTCAGGGGAACGACGGAACTGAAGTTTGACAGGGTCTTATCAGGGGGTTTAGCCATAGATTGTGCAAAAAACCCTGATAATGATATCCGACTGGATTTCGAATCATTCGAGGGCCCTCAAACTACAGGAATCTACAAGATCACCACGAACAGGAGGGACGGGGCCCGGGAGTTGAATATTGAAATTCTCAGCGACGACTACATCATACTGGATGTCCATCCTGGTGCGGTTTTCCGCGACGAGACCGGCAAAAAACTACCCAATTGGCCAAAAAGGCCTCTGCCCCAGTATTGATTTTACGGCATCAACAAGGCGTTGGGCGGGAATACCTTATACCATAGATAACGTATCTCTAATCTCAATTGTTGTCAGAAATCAGGATGACATAGTGGCCTGCGGTAGTTATAGTAGTGATTCTTAATAATATGAACCAAAATTCTCTCCTCAGTTCGCCATCACAACCTCCGAATCAAAGCTATTTTCTCAAAAGTTCCGCGAAAAGCATCGAACCGTAAAACAAATGAATCTCTTCTTAAGCTACGAGGTCAGCGAAACACAGTCTGTTCATTACCAGTTATAACAGATGTGGAAATCTCCGACACGCATAAGTGAATGTACTTGGCATCGAGATATCAGAATTGATTGTAAATGGCAAGAACAAAATGGTCAACGATTTTGACAGGCACCAAAAACAGGTATGCAAGGCTTTTATCGACCAAGTTACTCATAAATGTTTTATCTTTCTGATCTGATTTTGGAATCGGTTCTACTTGTAACTTGACAGCTTGGACATCATGTCGGATGTAATGAATGATTGGTGGAAGCCTATTTCTAACAACCGCCCACAAGTACCGCTTCATATGTAAGCTGCGACGCCTTACTCGCTTCCAGAGCCACCGTTCTTGATGCAGGCTTCGGAGAAGTCGCCGCCCTCCATTAGCTTGCCGGGAGACTTGTAAGTGATGGTGGTTCCACTGTTTGAGAGGACACAGTCTGAGCAGAAGCCGGTGCAAGTCTTTCTGGTCACGTCATTGTTCTTTCGTTCTGTCAGTTCCATTGCGCCCAACTTCTATCTGATCATTTGAAGGGCGAGCTTACAGGCAGGCCGACGATGAACTGGCCGCTACCACTGGCGGTGATGCAGTGGAGTTCGGAGTGCTTCTTGGCAGCAACGCTGTGACTGTAAGGAACCGCACTCTAACAAGGCATACCAACAACCAGATTGTGTAGTTTTGGTAACATCCATCAATATGATTTACCTGGTCGCAGCAGCCAGGAAAAGAGTGGCCATGATGGTAGAAAACTCCATCTTAGGGGTTGATAAGTAGTCGATTGATCTTGATGACAGGAGTAGTTGAAAAGAATGAAGAGTTGGCAATGTGATCGTAGAGATTAATCTGAATTGTGAGTTGTGATGGTTGATTGGGTGAAGGATGTTGTAGACATTTATAATAAGTTATTGCTTACTCTTACACATAAGGCTGAGCATTCGTGAAGCCGGCATCGCTATCCGCTCAGCCCTAGTAGTAAGGCATGGCCAAGATCTACAGAAGCCTTCTGAGTTGTACAACGTGAATTCCGTATACTAGGTAGTGTGAGGGTGTCGCGAAAGCGATAGCGAAAGTCCTCAAGGTACGGATAGTCATGTTCTTCCTGACAAAGGCCCATAATATGTTCTCAGCCTCGACCTTGCTAGGACTCAGGAGCCTTTCAGGATTGTGATTTTAGGGCTCGGTATTGCGAAGAAAGATACGAACGGCATAAATTTTGACGGAGACTACAAGCTTTTCTCCTTTTGTGATAATGCCAGGGGAAAGAACCTTGTGTTTCCGCCTGAACCCTCATGTTTTCTATCTTTCTGATTCATGTGGATATCTCTGAAAAGCAATTCCAGCTGACCTGTCACTCAATTTTAGGCCCAGATAATGCTCTATAAAGTAGGAGCACGCCTTGCCAAGGCCGCCAGTATCACGGCATGATCTGCAGGGAGAGTTGCCACGTATATGCAGTTGAGATTATCTCGAAGCCAGCAGGTAACCCGGGGCTGCGCGGCTGCACCTGGAGCTGCCCCCTGGTAGTTGATTTCTCAATCTGGAAGCAGCAAATCTTGGCAGCATTAGTTGCTGGCCTGGGCAGGTGAGCCGCATGAGCCTCTGCTGCTCTTGTTGTGCGAGAGACTCTGGGGTAAATCGTCCGATTACAAGTACTCGTTTGTGTATTTGCGTCTTATATCCTATAACGGCTGATAAATGCCACGAGCTCTGGGCATCTCATGAAAGAGTGTATCTACATCCCCGAGAACTTCCACCACGAGATCTCAGCCACGCCTTCGGTAAGACTGTCAAAACAATCACCATTATGTCAATGAAAAGAGGCAATATCCAGTTCATCCATTTACATGAACAAGACAACTCGGAGGTCACGTCGGCTGAGTCACAACGTCGAGCTCATTCGCATGCAGCCAAGGCGGCACACGCAAGGGCCAGGCGACAACCTCCAGTATCAAGCTACCAAAACAACCGAGGTCCAGGAAGCTGCTGATTCTATTCTGATTGGTCCCACGGGATCTGGTCAGAGGGACCCCTTCGCTAGCTTTGCGAGGCGTCTTAGTCCGGTTGAAGACTTCCTCCTAGTCTATTGTTAGTACATGTAAGAAACTAGGCTAGCGTTGAAGGCTGGCATCTTACATCTTCCGAGTCTTCTGCTTGAACCCTGGCTTCAACAGTTTTGAAAGCAGGCTTTGGAGTGACTAACAGTTGCTTAATAGACGTGCACGACGTCGTGCCATGTTCAATTATGAGTCAGTTCGGAGTGGTTCTCTGGATGGCTGCACAAGAAGTCTCAACCATCAATTTGTTCAGCTGGTCGCAACTAGCGGCAGCTCTAAGTGGTCTCTTTCTCGTGACTAGCCGACATTTGTCGCAATGTCTTACACGACGAGAAACACATCATACACAACTCGCCTTACAGGACAAAGTCGTCTGTGCGCAACCGCTCATGAACGCCATTTCAAGTCTGAATATGCGGTCACCGATTAATGATTACCATCACAATAGCCGTTTTTCTGGCTCAAGATGAGGTAAGCCAGTCAAATAACGCTCTTTACAGGAAGGTTGCGTATTTTGACAACTGACAGATCTTGGTGGTTCATGTTGCTTCGACATAGCAGCATTTACAAGGTGCGATCCACATGGTGAGACATATGGGGCGTTGGATAAGAGGGGCTTCAACATGTTCCTCTACGACATCATCCAAAAAGATATTGCAAGCTCTGTTTTGATGAAAGGGGGTATACCGTTAGCTTAAGTCCGGGCAATAGAATAGTCCATGGTCAGAGATCGGCAGTGGCGTTGTTGATTCATGAGCGACGCGCGTTCGCATCGAGTCTATGCCACGTAATTACACCTTGACTATGGGACAAGAGTCCATATAAGAGCCAAAAGCTACTGATAAGCGTCCCATCTGTTTCGAGTCATGGATCGTTGCAATATCCTTTGACGTTTCCAGCATTCAATCTTGTTGACAGACTTCGGAAAGGTTAGAGGAGTCTAGTGCCTGCATCACAACGTGCGACTAATAGCGATGGAGTTGAACATCGTCGAGGCCCGTGCGCAACCTCAGTCTAAGACTGATCGTGCTAGCACATAGGACGAGATCTAAACCTATACTTAAAATGTCGAATTATCAATCTACAAGAAAGTCTAGTCGTTTCTCTTCAATACGGGTAGCTGTTTTTGGAACATTCATCATCTATTTACGATCCATGCCACGCTTGCGTAGCCCGGCATGGAACAGGAAAAATGGTGCCACAGACCCAGTATTTCCCCGATAATTTATATCCCCGCGTGGACCCAGCGTCGATACTTTCCGGGGTTGGTTAAAATCCGGGGCACTGTCGTTGTCAGAGTGCGGATACAGTCAGTGAGATACGCAGGCCATGTTGTGACATTGGATCAACCGCTTAGCGCTTTGTTGTTAGATCTCCCAAGATCGTCAACTCCCTTCCTCCATTCCCTCCGTCATCGGGATCCCGTGGGCTGAACAGCCTGGCGTTGTCGTTTCCCACGATCTAGTGTGGCATCTCGCATTACTCAGGGGATAGGCTTCAGTGCACCTCGAACCCCGTGGAAAGACAGCTTCGTTGCTTGCACGATGGATAGAGATAGCGCCAAGGACGGCCCTGTTCTCAAACACTTGGACGATGCCGACACCGGTGCTGATACCTATGCCGCGATCATGGCAACAAACAAACCCGACCCGAGAGGACCGGGATACATCAGGCTGTATCTTCTTGCGACAGTGTTGTTTTTCTGTTCAACTATGAATGGTAGAGGAGTCCCATTCTCGAACTGGACTTCCGACGGCTAATTCGAAGTAGGATACGATAGCGCCCTTCTAGGGTCAATCAACGCGTTACCCAACTATACAGAATATTTTGGGCTTCCTTCAAAGGGCAACGCCAGCACTGGCATCGTGTTTGCCATCTTTCAGGTAGAATTAGGTGGCAGGGGTTGTCGTATCGAGGTCGCTAATATTGAGTCAAGGTCGGTCAAATGTGTGGCGCCCTCTTCATCTGGATGGCAGATTGGTACGGCCGAACCTGGCACATCTTCCTTGGTTGTTTGGGCGTCTGCATCGGGGCAATCATAACGGCACTCTCGACGAGTCTGCCCATGTTTATTGGCGGCCGCTTCATCTTGTCCTTCTTGGCTACCTGCGCTCACACGTCTGCGCCGCTTTACCTCGTAGAGATCGCACCTGCTCGATATCGTGGCACTGTCGCAGGCCTCTACAATACCTTTTACAACGTGGTACGTGATCTCTCAATGAGAACGAGACAGGCTGACTTGGGAGGTTGAGATTTGACGTAATTACGTTGTTGAGGCTGCTGCTGACGCTTACCACTCCACGCAGGGCTCGATCTTGGCAACATCGGCAGTATATGCGTGCCACCGCTACCTCAATGACCGTGGAGATTTGGATTGGAGAATACCGCTTTGGCTTCAAATGGTGTGCCCAGGACTCGTATGCGTCTTGATCAAGTTCTTCCCCGAGTCTCCTCGATGGTCAGTATCCCTCCGACCCAAGCTTGAAGTTGTAACTCAACCTGCGACAGGCTCGTCGCCAAAGACCGACATGACGAGGCAAAAAACATCATAGCAACCTATCATACCAACGGAGACCTAGATCATCCTCTTGTAAACCTGCAGATGAAGGAAATGATCAACTCGATTGATCCAGCCCACGCCCCTTCATGGAAAGATCTCTTCGACCTGAGGGTCCTCGTCGAGAGCCGGTCTAGCAGGTACAGACTTATGCTCAATGTAGCATTCTCTTGGTTTGGACAGTTCAGCGGCAATAATATCAGTGAGTTCTTCCTTGCAGCGTGTTCTTTGTGGCCTCTAGAAACTGACACGCGCTTGCTAGTCTCCTACTACCTCCCCATCATGCTCTCGGGTGTGGGCATCACCGATACGAACACGAAACTAATACTCAACATCATCTACTCCGTCATTGGCTGGGTCTTTTCAACCGCGGGCTCTCGTCTCCATGACGTTGTTGGCCGCCGTAGAATGCTCATTTCCACCACCGCAGGTATGACTGTCTGCCTAGCTATTGTTGCCGGCTGCTCGGCAGGCTACACAGACTACGGCAATAAGACGGCGTCCACGGCCAGCATCATCTTCATCTTCGTCTTTGGTGCTATCTTCGCCACAGGCTTCACGCCGATGCAGCCCATCTACCCGGCTGAGGTTGTCAGCAACAAGATGCGTGCCAAGGCGATGGGAACTTTCAAGCTCACGGCAAGTGCGGCGGGATTTCTCAACACGTTTGTTGGGCCGATTGCCCTTTCGAATGTGAGTACATCTCCGAATGCTAACATGGTGGGCTGCGCTGTGCTTTTTTACTAATACCAATCATCGTTGATAGATTGGCTACTGGTTTTATGTCTTTTTTGTGGCTTGGGATAGTTTCGAAATGGTATTCATGTACTTATTCTTTGTCGAGACCAAGGGTTTCACATTAGAGGAGCTGGATGAAGTGTTCGAAGCAGAAAACCCTCGTAAGGCTTCAATAGAGGCAAGGAAGAGACAACAGGAGATCGTGAGGGCCAGTACGGCCGCGGCTTGAGGCAAATCTTTCCGTAAATATAAACCAGTGGCATGGCTTGCCTTAGACCGTTCCGTATTATATGAGATCTATCTCAACCTCGAGCATTTTCTCAAACCAAGATTCATCTCTCAAACAGAACCACCCGGCTCGCTTCCATTTGCCCTCGTACGGGACAATCATTAGCCCCTCCTTGTCAATCAGCGGAAGACCCCACACCTCTTCTAATTGCGCTGCTTCCTCTGGAACGTCAAAACAACCCACAGCAACGACCTTGTCTCCACTGACTGCGACATCTTGCTCTTCCCCGTTCGAGACAAGCAAAACTGAGTGGGGCAGCATCTTCTTGTAAGGTAGCCATCGCTTTCTTGTCTTATCCGCTTCAAACCACTCGACAACGCCCGTCTTGATCACAGTCGCCTTGGCCATGCGCCCTAGCATTTGCAGCGTACAAGACGGCATGTGGAGAACAGTCACATCACAGTTCTCTGCGGCTGTCCACCTGGTTCCCAACTTGGGTTTTATCTTGACATAGTTGCTGTCTTGGAATAGCTGAGACTTTCTAGGGTTGTAAATGCGGCGAAGCGGACCTTCGACAGACGCCCAGGACCACGAAGGTGCGCGGATCACTGGTGCTGGTGCAAAGGGAGTTGGTTTCGGACGCGTCACCGAGGTGTTGAAGAAAGCATGCACCTGATTGCGTGGTTTCCACAGCAAGCCTCTGACGAGATCGTCTTCCCAAATGCCCGCGAGATAGCGAGACTTTAGCACGTCTTTCGCAAGGATCGCGATGGATGCGATGGCGGCAAAGACGTCATGCGGATTCGATAGAGCTCTCATCGTAAAAAGGTCGACGAACTCATACCACATTGAGAGGGTAGTCTCTCTATCAGCCGCCGAATGGGGACTGCCCGTGGAGAAGCCGGGGGTCAGGAATGTGGGCTTGAGATCCTGGAAATCAACCTGCCCGTCTTCCCAATTCTTTTCCTCTCGGCATTGGTAGATGGTTTGCTCCTGGCCGAAAACGATAGCCCTCGTTGAGAGCTTTTCCTCCTGGAAACACCACCCGCGTGTGGACACTGGCCCGATGAGGGCAGATCTCGGAAGACAGACGCCGATTGTGTCTTTGGTGTCTGGGCCAAGCGGCAGGGTGCAAGGCGGGACTTTTTGATCAAGTCCATTTGTGAGAAAGCCGTTACGCGCATCATCCGAACGACCAGCAATTATGGTCAAAGCCGCGTTGCCATAGACGTGTGCCATACGCTGCGATTCGAAAGCCCAGTCATCGGTATCGCCTTGTATGATGCAAAGGGCGTCAATCCAGAGATACGCAATGCCGAGCGAGCGTGCAAATCGAATAGACTCTTGGTGAGTCTGGGTCAGCTTCTCTTCCGTGACGCCACCCAGAAGCTCATTTTTGGTCTTATGCGTAAGCGTGAACGTGTCTTTTCCGGGTCCCCAGCAATAAGAAAGCGCAATATATGGCTCTCTTAGGCCAGTCGTGACTATCAGTCTCGGCCTTTCGCCGACGTTGCCAACCTGAATGACACGAGTTGGCATCTCCGAGGACCTAGGTTTACAGAGCTTGTGCGAGTCTTTGCACTTTTTCAAACGCCAACCTGCCAGGTCGTTGTAGAGATCGGGATCATGGTCCGCAGTTATATATCGCTCGATGTACTTGCGCGCTGCCGGGGTTGTACGGCTTCTGCAGATGGTTAATTCTCCTGCAATGTGCCGAGTCCTGGGTCAAAATAGGGATCAGAATGACTTCGATCCTGGAGGGCTTACGCGAAAATAGAGAGACGCGAGGCAAATGGCATCCCTGGGCGATTGGTATCTTCCAGACCGACGTCTGGATGCATCCTTCCGCACGAGATCCATATGGCACATCCCGGGAGTTGGTCACCGACGCCGCGGTTGCCCTGCCTCACCTCGCCATGAAGCCAAATGCTCGGAACAAACGTCTCTTCCTCGTAGCCTGACGGTATCTGATCACTAAGAAGGGCGTCGGTGACGCTATGATGAATGTCGTCCATGACACGGGTGTAGCACAGGGTGCAGAAGGGGCATTTCGCATCGGCACTTCGCTGGAGGGCCTTCAGGTTGGGATGAAAGCGGACATCTGTGGCATCTAGCTGCTCAATGTTGAGCGTCGAACAGGTCTGGCAGAGAGACATGATTGCAGCATTGGTTCTCCCGATATCCTTGGCGACAGGACGGCAATGTGAAGGTATTGCCGACGGCATGGGCGGTATGAGGTTGTGAAGTGAGCGTGGTCCAGCATGCCAGCCACGAACAGCTGACACCACGCCAGCCAGCGGGACTTTGAAATGGATGCATCGCAAGGATCCTATTGGTCATTGGAGCGTGGAACGTCCTAAATATGCAGGTAATACGCCAAGTTCTATCAGGCTCATGTGGACTCAGGGCATCCCACTAAGCACCTGGCGGCCAGGTTGAGAGGGGGAGCCGTAGGTACCGTCATCTTGAGTTTTCGTAAATATGGAGAACATGATCTCATTTGTGATCTCAAGTGCTAAATAGTTGATGCTAGAGAAAATCAAATTTCTGATAGAAATAGGTCGAGAGGTAATAGTGTAACAACGATGAGATGCAGGATGGAGCATGAGTGAGGTCTAGAGGAACGTACCCGCACCATGAAAAGTTCGCCTTACATAAGCCGCACTTCGACGCTAACGCTTCCCGATAAGATAAGCAAAGACCCACCCCGCCGCAATCTGGATTTTTTTTTTTGATCTGGGCAGGATTGCCTGCGTCGCGGGCTTCTGATGCAAGTTCCTTTGAACATCATACTTTTGCAGCACAACAATATCCACGATGAAGAGAAAGGCCGACGAGACCGCGACCGCGCCCGAGAGCGAGAAGCGCGCAAAGACGGAAACCTCTACACCTGAATTGTCATTCTCTGACCTGGGCCTAGACACTCGATTGGTGCAGGCTGTCGCCGCCGAGAGCTTCAAGGACCCTACCCCGGTGCAACAGAAGGCCATTCCGTTGGCCCTGGACGGCAAAGATGTCGCCGCGAAGGCGCCCACAGGTTCCGGAAAGACTGCTGCATACGTCCTGCCCGTGCTCTCGAGTATCCTGAAGCGCAAAGCTGTACGTAGCAGTCTTGTCAATGGGATCACTGAACCCTGCTAATCGCCATAAATTTCCAGACCGGTTCCTTACCCGCTACCACCGCACTGATCCTCGTCCCTACCCGTGAGCTTGCCGACCAAGTTCTCAAAGCGATCGAACAGTTCTCAGCATACTGCGCAAAAGACATCTACGCAGTCAAGCTCGTCGACAAGATCTCCGATGCAGTTCAGCGTTCCCTCCTTTCAAACTTCCCCGACGTCGTGGTCTCTACTCCCGCGACCGCCTGGCGCAACATCACCTCCGAGGCGCTATCGCTCGATAACCTGACGTGCTTGGTTCTCGACGAGGCTGACCTAATCCTGTCATACGGCTACGACGAAGACCTCGAGAACATCGCCCGAAAGCTTCCTAAGGGCGTCCAGCTCTTGCTGATGAGCGCGACGTTGTCTACAGATGTTACTACTCTTGGAGGAATTTTCGGACGGAAGCCTACGATCTTGGATCTCGATGAAGAGGAGACAGAGAACGATAATCTGTCACAATTCGTTGTCAGCTGTGGAGAGGATGAGAAGTTCCTATTGGCATTTATCATCTTTAAGCTGAAGCTTGTCAAGGGCAAATGCCTCATCTTCGTAAACGACGTCGACCGTTCATATCGCTTGAAGCTGTTCCTCGAGCAGTTCCAGGTCCGCAGCTGTATTCTGAACTCCGAGTTGCCCGTCACATCGAGAGCACACGTGTTGGAGGAGTTCAACCGTGGAGTCTACGAAATCATCATCGCATCCGACGAGAAGAGCGCAATGGGCGCCGAGGAGAAGGATGGCGAAGAAGGAGAGGCGTCAGAGGCGAAGAAGGAGAAGGACTCCAAGAAGAAGCGCAAGTTGAAGCGGGACGCAGAGTTTGGTGTCTCCCGGGGTATCGACTTCAAGAATGTGGCAGCCGTGGTCAACTTCGACCTGCCGACATCAGCATCATCATACACACATCGGATTGGCCGCACAGCGCGCGCTGGTCGGACAGGCATGGCACTGTCATTCTACGTTCCTCAAGAGCTGTACCGCAAGCACGTTCCTACGAGCATAGAAACCGCAGAGAACGATGAGAAGATCTTAGCCAGGATCAAGAAGCAACAAGCGAAGCTGGGCAAGGAGGTGAAGCCTTACAACTTCAAGAAGGAACATCTGGACGCATTTAGATATCGTCTGGACGACGCCCTCAGAGCAGTGACCAAGGTTGCAGTCCGTGAGGCGCGTATGAGAGAACTGAAGCAGGAGATTCTCAAGAGCGAGAAGCTGAAGAGGTACGTTCATTCAGCTCAGGCGGCTCATGTCCAATGCGGGCTTTAACTCGAACCTTGCTAATCAATCTTAGATACTTCGAGGAGAACCCGACAGAGTTGCAGCACCTCAGACACGACGGAGAGTTAAGAACAGCCAGACAGCAGCCTCATCTGCGGCACGTTCCCGAATACCTGTTGCCGAAGGAAGGCAAGGAATCACTCACAAAGAACGACATTGGTATGGTGCCGTTCCGAAAGATTGGTGGCAAGCAGAGGAGGAATAAGAGCAAGGCCGGTAAAGGCAAGAAGGTGGGAACGAGAAAAGTCAATCCTTTGAAGACCTTCAAGGCACGGAGGAAATGAGTAAAAGCATCAATCTTTCCCGGAACCGGTGGACTGTAGATACTAATAGCGACTGCCATTGTTTCCTATATGACTCCTACCGCAAACTACCTTATCGAAGGCGAGACTGAGTTCGACTCCCCCAGCATTGATATCTCTGAGTTCATTTCTGGACGCATCTCAGTCTGCGTCATCTTCATTGCCGCTTTCAATGCGCCGTTGGCCACGCGGCTGTCGCAGGGTCGATCTGCGCATGGGGTTGTCGTCCGAGCTATGGCGATCTCATGTGATCGTGAAAACCTACAAGTCTTTCCTTCTTTCGCTTTCTCTATAGTCAACCCGATTGGCGCCCAGCTCAAGAACAGATGGAGGATAGCTGCAGTAATTATAGTTAAGGTGCTCGCACTCTTGGCTTTTCGGTTCTCCTTCCGTAGACGGCCTAGTTCGCACAGCCAAGCCTTTGCGCTCGCGGCTCAACCGATCTGACAAGAGAGAAATTCTCCCCGAACGCTGAATAGGAACAGAACACTGACCTGGCAATTAGACCTGCTGCATGTCATCGGGGCGTGGTCCGAAGATGCTTCTAGTCCACGCTGACAACCCCGGGGAGGGAAGAAATGGAACGGCCAAAGGCCTGATATGCTCAGATGAAGAGGGAAAGCGCTGGAGCCACACACGGTATGTTTCGGCACGAGTCGAAAAGTCATCCAGTCTCTCGGCCCGTGCGAACATCTCTTCATCGCAGCTCCCCGCTGCTTGAAACTGACGAATCGCATAGGGTTCCGAGAAGCCTCGGCGGTTCGATGTGAAGCTTGTGGCATCGCGGATGGTCCCGGAGCACGGATGACGCACCCGTCGCAACTCGGGGGTATTGATTCTTGGCTATCGCGGAGACGCCCCGACCGCGGTTGGTCTCGCGACATCAACCGCAACAGGAGCGGTTGCAGGGGAATGAAGTGATTAGACGCGCAAGAAGATACGGGTATCCCGTTTTCTCGTCTTGGGGTGAATATGAGTCATTGCCACACAACCTGTCACATCACCCCGTAAGCATGCTTGTCAGATATGTCAGAGCATGTGGTCACCATGCTGATGACTTCGAGCGCGGATATAATGATCCAGGGGTGTCCCGGGAGTTTGGGAACGAGTCGAACCACTGAATCACAAGACCGCATAACGCCGCTTCCTTTCCCCGTACGCACGAAAGGCACGAAAGTCGACTAGCACCACGCAACTAATTCTTTTCAGCCCTCAACACAAAAGGGTCGCCAAGTTTCCTTTCTTGAACTAGAGCCTTGGCCTGTCTCACACACACAGCAAAGGCGCAAGAGATATTAGACCATGATAGCCGCCAACACAGTAACACCGCCGGACTCACCCAGTTCTCTTCAATCCTCGGATATTGAAAAGGCCTCAATCATGGCGGCAATAGCCAAACCAAACACCGCGGCCGGGGCCGCAGTCTACATGCCCATACTCCTTCGCTACATCTACGACCCCGTCGTTCTCGGCTTTTACTGCCCGAAAGCATGGCGAATCACCTCAAGACGCATGCGGGAGTTCTTCAACAGGCACATCTCCAGCGCCTCGGCCCGTTCCGAGTCGCCCAGCCTCCGCAGAGCATCAGATACCAACGCCTTCTCACCCTGTCGGATACTGGACATTGGCGTCGGCACTGGCTACTTTCTCAAGCATGCGCCTATACCAGCCGGATCCGAGGTCTACCTCGCCGACCTCAACCCGGCAGCCCTGGAAGCAGCTAAAGAACGAACGCTAGACGCGCATCCCAAGACTAGCTGCGAGACCTCTGTCGCCGACTTTCTAGACCCCCTGGGAAAGGGATTGTGCTGCAAGGACCTTGGCGGGGGCGACTTTGACGCGATTTCCGTCATGATGCTGCTGCACTGCGTGCCTGGTCCGCCGTCGAACAAGGCCGAGGCTTTGATGCGCTTGAGGCATCTGCTGGCGCCGGGTGGTACGATATTCGGGATGACGATCTTGGGACGGGGCGTGAAGCATAATCTGATGGGGAAGCATCTCATGTTCTGGCACAACTTACTAGGTGTATTTGGGAATACCGAGGACGACGTGGAGGGCTTTGTCGGGCCGTTGATGGAGGTGTTTGAGAATGTGAGATGGGAAGTTTGTGGGACGATGCTCTTGTTCGAGGCTAGTAAGCCAAGGGCACAAACGCGGGACACGGGTACCAGTAGACATCTCCCATGAGTTGCATGATGCGGTGGTAGTCCAAAGAATCGGTGTAGGGACGCCATATTGTACGAAAAGCGGGATGTACATGTTGATGAGACAAATGAATTAATGACTACAAAAAGCCCAAGTTTGATGAAGGCTGGTAATTACACGAATTAGCAGTGATACGGTCTTAGCAAGCTTATTTCCGTCCAGTAAATTGACGTGATCTGTCTTGAAAGTTCCGAATGATCTGCTCGCCGTCGCTCAAACGAAACCGGATTTAGGCCTTCGGTGTGTGCTGGATGGAACTAGCCAAAAGTTTAAAACGGTATTCGCCAATTGAATGAGCGTTTACGGATGCGCGGATAAGAAGTCCTTCGTCGGACATTTGGAGAGGCAGAGTTGAGAGTTAGTAAGTTGTCCAAGTTGTGATCGTACATTAATACTCACCGAGGTGGCACCGCAAGGTGACTGGAGTAATATTCGGTCAATGTCTCTACGAACCACTGACTTAACTTCATGTATAAAATTGGACCTTATAGTATCTTAATGAAATTTACTTCCACAACCGCTGTTAGCTTGTACTGACGCGTCATATCTCCCCGGGTAGCCGGCAGCATGGATTCACTTTGTCGAGCGGTGACAAATGCCAAGTCCGAAGAACGATGACAAGCCTTTTTTCGTAGATGCCGATCCGTCTCGGGCAGACGCGCAGATATCGTGATAGAAAATGTGGCTCCACGAAGTCCGTCTATGTTATTCTAGATCTATCCGTACACAGGTATGAACAATGTGCCGAAGGCTCCAATCAATTATATGCTTTATTGTGTCTATTATAGTCTGTGTCTATTCCAGTCTGTGTCCATCCCATTGTGTGTCTATCTCAGTCTGTGTCTATCTCAGTCTGTGTCTACCCCGGTCTGTGTATATCCCAGTCTGCGTATATCCCAACCCGTCTGTGTCTAGTAGTCATTCCAGCCTCATGTTATCGGTCTAGTATCATACCCATGATCCTTCTACATACGCCACTTCATGCATATCATTCCTTTCTCAGAATCAGGACACAATGAAATCCAAAGCTCGACACCGTAGATAGTGCCCCTAGCGCATCGCCATTCCGACAATCTTTGGTAGAAAGCCTGACAAAGTTTGCCTGATAACCCGCGCAATCTTACATCGCGGTCCTAACCCGTCTTGGCCTGAGACCTTCCATCTTCCATCTGCCGGTAGCCAAGGCTTTTTTCTCGGTGTATCTCTTCTCGATGGCCTCAAGGCTGTGCCCTCGAGTCTCGACCATCACAAGGGCTACCACGATTGTGCAAGCAAAGGAGCATCCAGCGAAGAGAAAGTACGCTCCAAAGGTTGACTTTGACAGTAATACCGGAGTAATTAGCGCAACGACATAGTTTGCAAGCTGTAATATAACCTGTTAGTACAATTCGAGTTTACGTAGACGACAAGGGGAGGAGGACACCGAAACACAAACGTACCCAGTTCGAGCTCTGTGCCAGGCTGGAAGCACTACTGCGAGTCCTAGACGGCAGGCTTTCCACCATGAAGGTGCGAAAACCAATGGCCCAGGTGGCGCTGTATACGATGGCGAAGAGGTAGATGGATACGATGACAACCCACTTCCCGGCACCCGTCTCGGCGTGAACCTCACCAGCTGCAAATAGCGAGCCCATGAGTAGCATCAAAGCGGTGATGAGAACACCACCGAGCAGACTTGACGTCCGGCGGCCCCATCTGTCTGCTAAGAATGTTGCCGGAACAGTGGCTGCCAGAATCACTAAAGCTGAGACGCCAGATGCGAGGAATGTGGCCTCTTCGCCGCTCAGTCCAGCTTGTGTGAAGAGAATAGGGGCATAGTAGAGAATCCCATCAATACCGCTCCACTGCTGCATTCCCAGCAAGAAACAGCCAAATATGGTCCTGCTCCGGAAGGGTGCCGAAAAGGCTTCTCTGAAGTCGGTAAACAACTGTCTTAAGGTTTCCAGCAGTGTAACGTCGGGTTTCTGTTCTTGAGCCTGGGCCAGGGATTGCTCCAGCAGTTCCTCACGCTCGCTTTGGTCCAGACCAAGGCGATCCAACACGCCTCGGGCCTCTTCGATTCGTCCTTTTCCGAGAAGCCATCTGGGTGACGGTGGGACGATCCAGTACGTGCTCGAGAGAGCAAATCCCAGAAATGAAGCTACAGCCAGCGGCAGGCGCCATGCCAGGGATGATACTTCGATACGGGCGGTACCATAGCACATGAAGTAGCCGATCACAATACCAGTGACGATGGAAAACTGTGGCAGGGCAGTGATGATACCCCGGACCCGGGCAGGCGAGATTTCCGAGACTTGGACGTAAACGTTGCTCAAAAACATCCCCTCGCCGACGCCCTTGATGAGACGACCCAAGATGAAGACCCCAAGGACAGGCGAAGCGCACTCAATACCAGCGCCGCAGCCGTAGACGAAGGCCCCCAGGGAGAAGAGGAGGACGTGCCCGAAACGGTCTGCCATGGCGCCGGACACCAGAGCTGACAGGGCGCCAGGGATGAGGACGGACGAGACGATTACTCCATGCATTGTGGGGGAGAAGTCGCCGAACGTGCTACGGAAGGACGGCATGGTCGTAACGGGGCCAATGCTTCCTGTATCGAGGCTTGATAGATTGAATAGCGTGCTTGTCAGCAAGGGCCCTAGGGGGTTGGTTCGTCCGGGATCTGGGTCTAACCATTATGACAAAAGACGAAAGCGAGTTACGACTGCGAAGAGCGTGGCAAGAGTGCAGGTAACACAAGAGTAGAGCAGAGCAGAGCAGAGCAGAGTAGAAGAGACAAGCTCCTGCGTCGGCGAGCGAAGGAACCTCGTTGAACATACCCAAACAACATGGCAACGCATGATGCGACGATGCTTGCTCTCACATAGAGAGGGACAGGGGAAAATGCTGCCATCTTTGCCGCCGGCATTGTGACAAGGACTGGGGAAACCTTGATGAGAGCCTTGTCAAGAAAGAAGAACGATAGAAACCCCCACAGTTGGTTAGATGGGCGATGGTGTTTTCTCGAAGAGTGTGACAGATCCCCGCGACCCTTGCACGCGGACTCCAAAATGTCTCCGTGGGTTGCAAAATTTGGCGGGGGGGGCTTATCGTGTTCTCCACCTCAACTGTTGAATCGCCGGTGGCCGGGGAAAGCGTCTTCGGTCCCGGGCTGTTCTTGTTATCCCCACTTGCCGGTTTTTGCGGTGCGCTGACTCGGGTGAGTTTGACGACCTGCGGGGTTCCACTTATACTCTGACATAGCTGGCCAATGGCACAACACGGTGGCCGGGTAAGACGGTTGCGAAGGCATACAAAGAATACGGCAAAACTCGCCGCTGCCCCGCTTGAAATATTCGCTATTGACAAAGTCTATTAAGTTACGGTGGCTTTGGGGCAATGTTTCCGCCCGTGAGCCTTGTTGCGTTTTGATTACCCGCTGCAAGTGCACCGTTGACTCTTGGGCACAGTACTCAGCGTTGGCACCTTTCAATAGAGGTGCCAACGCTGAGTATGTCAAGCACAGTAGGTATCTCGGGTTGACATGAAAAGCTGATTTTAATAAGAACAAACCCGATGAAACTAGTTTGACCCAGAGTTGCAAAGTGGACCATAGTCGCTTGACACTTAGACAGGAGCAAAGCAACGGATTCCCTAGTTATTCGAAACCGTTGATGAGATCGCCTTCAAAGCTTCCGATGTTGATAATAATTACAGTAATATGTGCTAGAAGATCCCGAACTAGTTCCCCGTCGGTAGCTTTCGGTGGCTTGTGAAGCCCGTGGAGTGGAAACACAGCTCCGGCAGTGGTTTAAGCTTCTTGAATTCCGTATGTACGGGCCCTTTTCGGGTCCAGCTTTGATCACCTGATTGTAAAAAGCGCCAATTGCCTAATGTGGCCACTACTTCGCTTTCGGGACGGCGTATCCCACCGGACGCGGGTCGCCCACGTGAAGCACGTAAGCTTGATCCTCTATGTGCACCGAAGCCTAGGCTGATAACTCACGGGGAAGGTGATTGAAACGTCGACGTGGTTTGGAACTTTGAATGTTCGCCATCTTTTTACCACAAGCAGAACACACCTAAAATAGCAGGTGTCCCCGCGCTTAACACTACAAGCACGTTCCGGATAGTCAGTGCTACTGTACCTTAGCGTTGAATGGCAGGCTCCGTCCAATGTCACGTACCGCGAAAAGCTTACCGTATACTCCGTACAGTAATGACAAATGGTATGTTCTGGTATATCATAAGGTAATTAGGCTTATTTCATTCGACGTATTGGATGGTCACGACTTACCGTAGGCCCGAGGTAATGGTATACGTTGGCAGAATATCAACTGACAGCGGCAAAACTCATTTCATCTCATCACCGTTCAGTAATACTCAAGCCGGCTGCGACACGTGTCATGCCATTGCTCGACTGTCGATCATACTTTTGTCGGGCCCTTGCAGCCGGTTGGATGCGAACAGAAACTCGGAATTTGGACCACATCTCAAAGGCATTGAGTTGAAGCAACTGAATTGCGAGATTCTCATGCAATTTTGAGGCGTATGTCGGAATTGGTTCTGTCTTCTGGGTTCCGTTATCTTTGGATTGCTTAGACGACACCTGCAGGTCCGCGTTGGCGACGTAGCTCTTGGGGGACAGGGATACGGGTGCGAAATTGATACGAACCCACTTATCCGTGACTCGAGCGATGGATTCGGAGGATTACTCCGGATTTCGCTGAGCTCGCCTTGCGTGTCTTTCTCTGCTTTCCCCTCTCTTTCTTGCTACCTAGAGCCTGAGCATCTCCGAGGATGAGAGCCTTGGAGGTGATTAACGTTATCGGAAGCTTCGTGGTGCTCAATAAGCCGAGCTGGATGCTTTGCCAGGTGCTGCTATGAAACTTGTGATCTTCACAGAACCAGAGCTACCATTGGCTGGAGCGGCTAAGTCGTGTGGTGTTACGTAGGCGTGTCCAAACTGTCGGCACAGAGAAGACGCAATTGCCAATAATTGCCCAGGCATGGGCTCGTCAGCGCACCCGGTGCACCGGTTCGCTCTATCGCCAAGACAGAAAACATCAGCTCAAGAAAAGAACCTACGTTTATCTGCCGCCGGTCACAAACACTGGTTTCCAGGGCGCAAAAACCAGACGGTTCCACAACTATCGCTACTGTCCATCCTGTCCATCCGGGTGCGAACGGAGATCAACAGTCAGTGCTATCATCTCAAAGATAATTGAGCAGGGTATGGAAATAGAGCGGATAAGAGCTTGACGGCAGTTCTATACAAGGGGTCTTTCCCCATGCAGCACTGCCCTTTCCACGCCCGCAGCCATTGCCTTGAACCCTCTACTTGGAGACTTTGGTGACCCTTATTTTGTAGATCTTCTGGGGGACGTGCCCACGGGGACGTGCCCGCAGGGCCGCGGCCTGCGGGCTTGTAGCACACTACCATCCGGGGCTTCAGAACCCCCACCTCAATAGTACCCGCACTATGACTGTAATGTGACGAGAAATATGCCAGTCTAAGGTTACACTGGGATGAGTGGAAACACGAGGAGATTCTCAATTCCGTGTAAAACGTGATGCATTTGTCGGTTTGCGATAGGAACCTTCCAAGTGTCAACGACTGGTGATTTAGAGTTGCCTGAGAACAGGAGAGGAACCTGATCGAGATCTAGTACTGACTTGCAAATTGGCAGCGCTGTGTGAAACTCTTTGGGGGTTCATGACGGAGCTGTCCGGCTGAATGAGCCTGGATCACGGTGGCGCACCTCGGCTTAAGTTCAGCGACAAACTGGCGAAGAGTAGCTTGCGAGGAAGATTGCGAAAATCTGAAACCCCAAAAACATTCATCTTTAGACACGAAATCAGCCAATATTGGCCATTAAGCTATTACAATCAGCGGGTGCGTGCTATCCACAGCACGGTTATCTCAGAGTCCGACAAAAGTTCTACCAAGACCTTAATTTGACGAGGGAAACAACGACGGTTCTAGAATTCGTACCGTTGGAAATTGTCCCCCATGGGAATTGAGTTTGAGGACGAGTAGCAGCTACAGATTTGGGCCACAATGATGCCACAAGAAGAACGGGGATTCTTGTAGGGATTGTGCTCTTTGGCAGATGTCCACTGCACTCTGCTGTCAAAAGTCTAATCCCCCAGAAGAAGGACCCGCGGGCCACGACGCCAATGTGCCAAGCCGGAGCCGAGTCAAAAACAAGACCTTTGACGGAAAAGCCAAGTTCGAAGAAGCTGGAGCTCAGGAGCCGAGATCCTTGGGTATAGTAAAGCACCCACGGAATCGCTCGCATCCCCATTAAGGGGAATCCTTTGGTTGAGCCTCATCAGCCCCGAAAATATGGCTTCAGCCGCTTCATCAAGACGAGTTGACAGGTGCTTCCGGTTGCAAAGTGCGAGGGATCATGGGGGCCTGAGCCGCGCGGATGGCCGATTATCACTAGTAAATCTCGATTATCGGGTATTTGTGCTCGTTTCAATGTCCTCTCCAATTGTACGTAACAAGGTACGGCGTGCGTGTTATGTTTTTTTCTTTTCAACTTTACCCGGACACGCCTTATAACCCGATTAAGTGACAGGGTGGGAGTTTACCTTGTGCCTTGCTGGGATCCGCGATGAGGCTTCTGACTGGTTCAATTTTTGATCTGAAACTTGCCCGCCGGACTCGCCAATAGGTAATAGCTTGTTGAACACTTCCTCCACACGTTCGAGCGAGATCGCTGAGTGCCACAGGTGGGCGGTACCGCTGTCGCGGCGTTGGGGACGAGGCACATCAGCTGAAAACTCTAAAAGGATAATCAACCCCTCTCTCTGCACTGATTCATTTGGCCCTGCCGCCGCGAAGCTGTGGCCCCAATTGGTCCCACAGTAGCGGAACACTCGGACAATTAGGTTCGACAGGACGGAACACCGGGAACTCACTTGGGAGGAGAAAGACTGGGCGAATGGCTCGTCCCCGTTGTCACTAGTTCCCTAATCCAGAAGTCAGCCCAGTCGAACCAACACCCGCCACACCCTCGGGGGGTCTGGTTCCAACATGTCGGCGCCTTCCATAATACAACGGGGCACCCTATATCAGCCTTGCTCAATGTAGCTCATTATAGAGGAAATGGAATTGGCCCGACCCAAGACGGAGTACTCCAGTTGTCCGGGGGCGGGGTCTAGACTTACGGGTGCTTGTGGGCACGAGAATGCTTCTTGATGCTTGGCAGATTTTCTCGCCAAGAGAGTCCGTGAGAAGAGCTTCATGGTGCTTGCTTTGGGGAAGCTGGAAAGAAACAAACTCGCGAGAACCTCCTGAGCACTTGTCAGAGTTGAATACAATCTCGATCACCTCGATCGTCCAAAACGCTGGGTTATCTATCAATTTACCACCGGCTTCAGTGATGGCCTTTGATAAAGGCTATCGCCCCGCTGGCTTCCGACGTCTCGCAAACTTACGTCTAACTAACTTTCCATCCGAGCAAGGACTTGACTCGAGACGAAGGCTTCCATCGCGATGCAGGATTAGGGAGATACTCTACTTAAGCTCCGTATACTCGCCAACTTCAGCAGAACACTAAATGTGTAATGACGATGAACTCGCCTTCTCTGCTTCTTTAGTTCTGTCTTTCCCATATCTATGCCCGTCATACACACCCATTCCTGCCTGTTGAAGAGACATTAAGCATCTGCGGTTCACAACTTACTTTCTCGTCTTGGACGTCTTCACATCTCCAATAACTGCCGGCTAAGACTTCTCTGCTGGGGTGGCAACCATTAAGCTTAGTGTGCAGCCCTAATACAAGAAGACCGGATCTTCATTCTCAAGCTGTTGAACAAGGCAATGTCGACGCAAACACCCAGAGAAGATATCTCTCTTGTTTTCAACCGCAAGAGAAGAAAGGTCCGCAAGTCCTGCAATGCCTGCAGTTCCCAGAAGATTCGTTGCGGCAAACAACGCCCAAAATGCCAACGCTGCGAGACAAAGGGCCTCGAGTGTGCTTACAGCATGTCAATGCGGACCGGCGAGCGCCCTCGCGTTCTCGCTTCGCCAAGCTCGTTGTCGGATACGCAGGCAACCATGTCGCTTGTCATGAGGGATGGCCCAGCGCTGGCCATGTCCAACGCCTCTACCGTTTCTCATATTTCACAACAGCAGCAACAACAACAAGAACGCCGTATGTCTGAGCAGCCTTCGGAACACCACACCGACCTCCAGGATGAGATGATGTGGCTGCTGGAGGGCACCTCGGATTCTGACAATCTCTTGGACCAGAGCCTCTGCTTTGACGCGAATGCGGACTTTGGGGTCCCAATGACTCTAAACGAATTGTCTGCCGCTTCGATAAAGCACTCATCTGCGGCGATGCCGACTCCTATGACACAAGAATATGACAGAACCTCTTTTTTCGACCAGCCTGTGGATCACAAAATGCAACCATCCATGGATGCACCACTGAGACGTTCCGGCACAGTCGACTCAGCCCGCAGCAGCTCCAGCACGTACTCAGACGACGGCCTCTCTCGCCACAGCAAGATCCACGACTGCACCATGGAGGTCCTGGAAATCGTCTCGGACTTTCACGTTCTCGCGCAAGGTTGCCTCACAGCCGTCAAAGACCCGGCGTGCACGTCCCATCTTGAGCGCCTACTCGATGACACCCCCCGCGAAATGGGCACCGTCTTATCGCACAACCGGGAGATCCTCCGCCGGCTCAACAACCTCCTTGACTGCCGCTGCTTCATGAGGCAGGAAGTGCTTGTTTTGGTGTACCTGGCCGTATACAAAGCCCTAGGCTGGTATGCGGCGATCCTTGGCGACGACGGTTCGTCCCAAGATATAGACCAATCACAGTTCTCGCTTTTTGGACGCATAGCCATCACGACCTCGTTCGTCGGAAGTTACTGTCTGGACAACGAGGCGCAGCGACTCGTTGCCGCGCACCTGGTCCTGACGCACGTTCGCGAACACGTCGATCCCCTTATCAAGAGGTTGCGCCACTGGCACCCTTCGGCGGCCAGGCATAACTCGTTGCCGTCTACACCGTCTTGTCCCGATGCAACCATCTGCTCAATATCTTTCCCCGCCACCAAGGGACGCATGTCTAGTGTTATCGATCAGCACCACCAGGCACTCCAGGAGGAACTTGAGAGAATTACTTTCAAGGCTAACAGTATTAAGCGTACATGATTTCGTATTCGTCTTCGTTCATTTGTTTTTCTTACTTTCCTTTGTCTGCAACATCCGGGGTGCTGGATGGGGACATGGGGGTTTTGGGTAATTTTACTACTTAAGATGCACTTTGAGTAACTTTTCGGTCCGTCACATTGAAGCGAAACACCAGAAGTGTAGAATTAGGTGTCACATCTTATGTTGGTATCAAACCAGCTTTCAGGCATTAGCAGCATTTACTGGCTTTTAGGCACAGCAGCGATTTAGATATACCCGCTATTAGGCACATCATTTCTAGGATACCAGCGTTAGAGATACCCAGCTTTTAGGCTTACCAGGGGGAAGGGGTCAAAGCATCAAGCAATACATTACGGCCTTTACGATCTTTGAGCAATAATATCATAACATCTACCTGATACCATGTTCCCTTTCTTCTTACTTATGTACCTAGACTGCATCCTGGCTTGTCTGCTCGTGTATTACATGGGACCCCAATAAGTGCGAAATATACCCCTTTCAGCTTTACGAGCCTCTCGCTCAACTTCGTAAAGAACTAATGATCTATCTGTTGCTATGGAAAACTCCTGGGCACAATGGCGGCCGACAGAGTCCTCCTCGCTTTAATGACTCACGCCAGACTTATGTCGATCAAAGAAAGCTCTCCAAGCTCAGGGCGGAATACCGTCTTCACTTGGAGCTTGGGAGAAACCGAATTGCAGAGGTTCTCGAACGCAGTTCTCGTGCGTTCGCGACCATTAAGGTTCATCAACATCAACAGGTCCCGATCGCTAAAGCTTGTCAATACGAGTTTTCTTGGCGTAAGACAAGGGATGCAACTTACTGCATGCGACGTTCTCTCTCACGGCTCTCTTGTCCAGGCTCGGGAACCACGACATCGTTGATGATGATACGGTCCTGGGGTCTCAGGGATGACGCCAGGCTCTGAAGAATGTTTTGGGCGTATTTGTCGCTCCAGTCGTGAAGGATGAAACGGCAGAAGTAAGCAATGCCTTCTCCGTCGGCAACCTTGTGCTCAGGCTGAGGCTTCATGAAGTCGTGGGGACGGAAAGTGACGCGGCCCTTCAACTCCTCGGGGCAGGACTTGGCCCCGACTTCGACGGTCTCTGGCAAGTCTTGCACCTCGAACTGAAGCTTTGGGTACTTCTTGGCCAGAGCCATTGAAATGTGGCCAGGGCCACCACCAACGTCAACAATGAGACGGATGTGGTCTTTTTCCAGCAAGTGCCACGGGTATCCACCGTCAACAGCGTGACGCAGATCGTAAGCACCGCCAACCGCAATGCCGCGCATGGCGCGGGCGAACATGTCGTGCAGCTGCTGGCCATCTGCTTCGCGGAAGCGCTGGAACTGAGAAATCTTTCTGCCGATGGAGACTCCGTAGGCAGACTCGTTCGCCTCCATGCTGTAGCCGTAGCTTTGCAGGGCTTTGGGGACGGAAGCACCGGCCGGGTAAGCAATGGTGGCACTCAGGTCCATCCATGCTTCCAGGTCAGGGTCTGTCACGAGAAGCGCAGACATGGCATTGTGGGCGACGGTGCCGCCTGGCTGGGCCTCGAACAAGCCATAGGAAGATGTGTGCTGAAGAACGCGCTCGACGAGGGCCGGGGTGACCTCGGGCTTGCCGACTGCTTCAGAAATGGCTGCATATGTTGTGCTTCCTTCCAGTGGGATATGACTGGCTACTTTGTACTTGAGGGCAATTTGAAGAGAAGCTGTCGCGCAGTGCTCAAAGCTCAGAGTGATGAGTGTGTCCCTGGGTCCGCGGGCCAAACGAACAATGCGTTCTGCGGCATCAACGATTGATGTCTTTGCTTGGAAATACGGCACATTCTCGGGAGTGAGTTCGAGGCTGGGTGCAGCGGCTTCGGTGGAGAGCTTCTCAAGACCGCGCTTAGAAAGGAACTTATTCAGCTCAGCAGAAGCTGATGACAGGTTTGCGACAAGCTCGGTGAGCTCATCTTCGATAATACGGCTAGGCATCTTGGTGGGTGGCGGATGATGTGAGAGAATACCAACTGAGATTGATTTGATGATAAGAGCCAAGACTTGTGATTTGAGGGTAATTTAGGAAAAGTATCCAGCGTGAGGTAACTCCAGGCAAGGCGGTTGATGTTCTTTTAATTAGGACCATTTAAAAATGAAAGCCAACTCGCACTATGGAAACTCACCGCATCGCTCTCCTTACAACGCCGGCTTCCCGAGTTGCTTCACCGCGAGCCGGGCATCTCTAGGTGTCAGTCAAGAGTTTGATCCGGTGCAACGCCCTGTGAAAGTTCCAGACGCCAAGGCCACAGAAAGCCCCGGAGGAAGACTCCATTTTTCTTGGAGCATTCTGAACGGGAGGTTGGAACAAGCTTGGACATGGGGTAAATGATCACCGACCGTTTCTGCTGTCATGAGTGGAACCATTTAGGGCGCCATTTGCTAATGAAAGCTTAATGAATAGAGTTTGTGATAGCGGGACAAGTCTTAATCGCCGGGACCAAAGGTGCCGGCCCAGTAAACAACGTTCGGATGAATCTTTGTATCCGGACGGTATTCGCAAAGCCAGGATCCTGACGTGGAACCCGATCGTGCTTATGCAATTACCCATATCGGTTTCTACGTCGGTGTTGATGTCGGGTCTCGGGATTTTCTTCGTCGAAGTGATGTTGCCGGCTCTCCTCGAGTAAAACGTGTGCGTTCGTACCTTTCTCAAAGATCTTCGTTTCTGTCAGCACAATTGACGTCCACGTTCGTGATTGCGAGCTTGATCACAGTGTCGAGGCAAGTTGATCAAAGTTGGTCGCCGATTATCTTATCTACAAAAGTTTCTGACATCAAGTGAACGTGCCAAGCAGTCATCCGTAATGTTAACCCTTGTGCCGGTGGGAAGCTTCTCAACTTCCCAGCTCCAGATATTCTAAGACAATATAAAATACGTAGAACCCTTTACAGCCCGGAAACTAGCAGTACGTAAGTAGTGTCTGTACTCAAACTTAATATTGTGCAGACTTGCCACCATAATTTGCACAACGTCTTTCTCGATGTGCCTGAGTACCTACCATAAGCGAACCGATCACTGATAGTGCAAGTATTGTCACAATGCTGCCCCTAGCAGTGTTGAACAATGAGGGTCAAATCGTGACTGTGGACAATTGATACCGTCTCCGGGTGCCGCCTGGCGAGGTTATCCTTATCTACTTTCTGGCGCTGCATTACTGCCCAAAAAATAGGACAACAGCTTAGCAGATCTCTCTTGATTTTTGAAGGCATCACAATGAGTGATGGATGTGCGACGATGACTTTTGACAATGTTGCAGGAAATAGCTCATCATGATTTGATCTACTGAATCTTCTTGGTATCAATCTGTGGTTGAAGATCTTAGAAGCCCGTCCACGCTTCACAATCTTCCAACGAGCGAAGTCCAAACATTTTCTTTGAACCCACCTCACTCTGCAAAATGCTTCGATGAGCACGTTTCCTCATTCCCTCCTCAAACGCCCCGATATCTTCCGCTGTAGGGGATCCCTGGGCTGCGGCAATTGTCCTCGCAAGACTGGAAGCATCGCAGATTGCCGTCTGCGCTCCAACTCCACCACAGGGACTCATGGGATGAATGGCATCCCCGAGTAGGGTCGCCATGGCGGACGGTGACCATGAGGGGACATCAGGCACGGAAGACACGACGCGAATCAGAGTCGCCTGTCTCGTATCCTGTTGTTCAAAGACTGACCTAATGGAGGAATGCCACTCTTGGGTGATGGACAAACTCAAACGAGCTGCCTCGGTCGCTGCTTGTGCAGAGGTCGAGCTGCTGACCTTGGACGTCGAAGTCTCTCCGTCTAGGCGAAATCGGGCTTCGGGTCCGATGAGAGCCCAGTAAATGTAATCTGCGGGAAGCTGATGCTGAGACCGACTCACTTCGCTGAAACGGATCGGCTCCAAGAGCAAAGTAACTGGCGCATCTCCAATGATGCAGGATTGCAGCATCGGTGTTTGATCAGAGACAATGGTCATCCATCTCATGCCCTTCTCGGGAAATTTCTCCAGGATCTCAGGTGTCATTGGAGTTTTCCCGTAGATGCAAGCAGCTCCCGTGTCTCTGATTTTGTGGCTGGGAACGAGATTGCGACGGACAACTGAGTGCAAGCCATCTGCACCAACAAGGAATCGGCCTTCTACTATGTCACCGTCCTTGAAAGTGACGGTGACAACTCCTTGATCTACATCTGTGTTGTAGGATGACAGCTCTTTGCTGAACTGGATACGGTCCTCAATCCCCGTCATCAGAGCAGTGCGGAAAGCAGCTCTGTCAACGCAGTAGCTTGGGTGAAGGCCAAGCTTTCCGCTGAGCCCGCCGCCAGAACGACTGTTGACCACAAGACCGGTAAATGGGTTAAAGTCGGTTTCGCCGATAGCCAGGGTGGCGCATGATGTCTGAAAAGTCTGATAGACTTCCTCGGGCAAACTCTCGGCCAGTGCGACAGCGGCGTCTTTGCGAAGCTTCAGGCGGTATCCCTGAGGCCGCGAATCAACCGCGGGATCTCGTTCGAATACCCGGAAGGGGATGTTGTGCTTTTTCAGTGCCTGGGCTAAGCACAGACCGCTGATGCCAGCGCCCATGACGAGGACTGGCCGCTTTTCCGTTGCCGGCATGATGGGTTTCTTGATCTGGATGAAGTCGTTGGGGCTGCCGGGTGCGGAAGACTGAAGTTGGACTGTCAAAAGACCCATGACACTATCGTCCGGTTGACGCGAATGCTCGATCTCCATTCCGACGTCATTGAGCAGAGCCTTCCAGTTTTCTAACTCTCGCTCTCTGGCGTTGAAAACCTGCATCATCATGAGATCTCGAACTCTCAGCTGCTGCTCGTGTTGCAGAGTCGTCGACCCCGGAGGTGGTAAAATTGTGTCCATGATCACGATGCGGGCTTTAGGATTTGCCTCCAGTGCAGTTCGAAGGTTTTGCAAAATAATGCGGGCATCTCTATCGGGCCAGTCGTGGATGATCATGCGAAGGAAGTATACGTGAGCATCCAAAACTGTTTGAGGCTTGAAAAAGTCTGAAGACATGAACTGGATGTGAGATTTGACGGCCGGATCGATGCTTGTATCAGCGTCGAATGCCCGTTGAGCAGTCGCAACTGTCTCCGGGAGGTCTTGCACAATGTACTTCAAATGTGGGAATTTGGAGGCAACGTGGACAGCAAGCTGGCCGTGAGAACCGCCCACATCAACAACCTTCGCGCCTTCTGGCAGCGAAGCCCAGTCGAAGCACTCTACAGCATGCGCTAAGCTCCAAGGCCGCGAAGCCGTGACATTGCGCATATAGCTCGAGAACACAGATGTGAGGTCCGGGTTCTTTCGAATGTGGTCAAAGAACGGATCTGTAGTATTCTCAGCAACATTGAAAGCTGTTTGATGCTTGGCGTCTGTGTCGCCCCAGCGGCGAGTTGCTTCAGGGAACTTGTAGGCAACTGGCATTGAGTAGTTCATCATCCAGCGGGCCCAGCTCATGAAGTTCTCATCGCGAACGAGCAAGGCCGATGAACGGCTGTGTGAGACGTGGCCGGATGTAGGCTCTTCCAGGAAACCGTTGAGCACAGCCATCCGAGCAACACCTTTGAGGTGCTTCTCGGGAACGCCTGCTTTAGCTGCCAATACAGGGTATGCAATCGAGCCGTCTTGGGGAAGGTGTTGTAGGACATCGAGATCAACAAGCCATCGGACGCAAGTTAACTCTTGGTACTATAGAAAGTAATTGTTAGTTACAAATGCTAATACCAAAGGATAGTGTAGATATTTACCCCATTGGCTAGGTGGTCAAGGTATTCTTCAGGCATAGTTGCCAGTTGGAGAAGCTTCATTGCCGACTCCATGAGCTTTTTGCGAGGATTGTGGACAGCCTTCGACTTGTCCTCGAAAGGACTGGCCCCAATCGATCCATTATTTGATTGGCGTAGAAGTTCGGCTCCGTGAGATGCAATCGAGTCCAGTGAACTCCTCAATCTCTGATAAAATTCCATTGCAACGAGTGTAATGTGAGCGACCCTGACTGATGGAGTAAACTGTGGCAATGGGCTGCAAGAAGACTAGCAATGCATCACACAAATCACTCGCGATGAATTGGACGATCTACATTTTAAAGCAGCCTACAACTTCTAGGCCCGGGTAGTTTGACGATCTACGCAGTATGGTGTTTAGATTCGATTGATCTGTGCCAAGCAAAAGCTTCCCGAAATAACTGCCCAGAGCGATCCGCGGATCGCTGATCAATCTAGCTGGGCGCGCGAGTCCGAGCTGATGGATGGCTCGGGGTATACTCACCGTCAAAAAGACGGTAAATGGAGGTCTGCCAATCACGTAGAGCCAATTACCGTGAAAAGTGGAACCCGAAGGGGGCAGGTTCCCGACGTCGTCGAGACAGTGAAACTCGCGAATACCCAACTTCGATTTCCCGGTAAACACAAACTTAACTTTTAGACTGCTTAGACTAGTTTTGAACTGTCGGAGATCACTTTGTCGACTTTTCTTCACTTGAGCGACACCAAATCGGATCAACTTCTGCCGAATCATAGGCTCATCTCAGGGCTTGCCGCTTGCCGATGTCCTAGACGACTATCATGTTTGTAGAAGTCGGTATAGGCAGCAAATTGCTTGTAAATAACAAAGTAGAATTGTAACTTAGCAGAAGTACTCCACCAATAGATCAGTCTGTGGAACCTCCCGTGAAGAGAAGCCGGTGTATAGTCAGGGAAGAGCCTTCACCGGTTGGACATCGGAGAATGTTCAGCGTACAGTGAGGAAGGTCTCGAGTCAGTTTAGCTTACCTTTTTTTGACAGATTACTTGCGTCTTGCATGGTCTGAACATCGTGAAGATTGAGTTGGATGATGTAAGCCACACGTGTAGAGAAAGTTGAGTTTGGCGCTTCTTTCGACTGAACAACGATCCAGAAGATTTACTAGTCGATTTCGATCCAGGTTGACTAGGCTCGT